AATAAAAATCGCCGACTCACCCGTGAGGAATAAAGACATCTTTGAACCCTCCCTGCAGCCGGAATGCAGGCAGCTCAGCACGCGGACGCTCCCAGCCCAGTCCTGCTCCGCCCAGGGGCCCCGGCCCCGCCAGGCAGACCCTTCCTGGCGCCTCCGCGGGGCGAGCGTGGGTCCTGGCATCAGACATGCCAGCTGTGCCGCGGTGACGGCAGGGCTGGCGGGCACACGGCCAGGGTGCCAGGGCCGGGCGGGCCCTGCTGTCCGCTTCTCCCGGCCCCGAAGCCCGCTCCTCCCACGAAGACGCGGCCGCGGCGCAGTCCACTCCCGGCAGCACCGCGAGTGGGCCGGCCACGGGCCCTGCCCTGAGTGTCCACAGAGGCTGCTGCTCGCAGGCGACCCACCGCTGGACCACGCCCTGCCGGCGCCCGCCCGCCGCCCCCACGGCCCGAGGAGCTGTCACAGTCGGGGGCCGCGCGGGACAGGGCGCGAGGAACAGACTCGCAGGAGGCTTTTCCCCTTACCAGCGGGTGTTTCGGGCCAGCCGGGTGGGGGCGCTGGCCTGGAGCTGCTCCCGCCTACACCCCACGGCGCCCGGTGGTGCTGGCCGAAGCCGCCGAGCTCCCCGCGCTGGGCGCTGCCCCCTGCACTGACCGGCAGGCCCGGGGGACGCTGCCTCACTCGCGGTTTTACAGCCGCTCTCTCGAAGAACGCGCCTGGGTGAGTGATGCTCCCGCTAGGTAAAGAAAACAGAGCGTAGCTGGCAAATTCTGCTCTCAGCTAATTCCTAAATAAACAGAACATTAAGGAGTCATTTTTCTTGGCATAAACGCTGTGTTTGCGTCGAGGATCTCTTCCCACTACAAAGGTGGGCTTAAATCCAGTCACCACATCACCGTTGTCCTAAAAGTTCTTGAAACAATTAACACTGTGTCAGAAAGACCCAGCGGTGCTGAGAGCTGAAATGCAGGCTCTTCCCTGCACGCGCCCGAGAGGCTGAGCGCTGGGCCGCGGCCTGCGGCGGGAAGGAAGCGGAGCTGGGCCTCTTGACCAGCCCCTGGGCCGGCGCCCCCCCGGGCAGGCTGGGCATCAGCAGGCACAGACCACAGCCAACCCCAGGTCCCGAGACCAGGCAGGCACAGCATTTGCGGACAAGGACGAGCAGGGTCAGCTCGTGTCCCTCCCGCCCGGGGCCCAGGGCTGCAGACCGGGCCTGGCGTCCCTCCTCAGGGTGGGGACGGACACAGGCAGAGAAGTCCCGACGGGAAGGGAGGGTGCGGTGGGACCAGAAGCAGGCAGGCGCCCCCGGACCCTGCCCCAGGGCACCCCCGCCCCGCCGCCCAAGGCGGAACTTCCTTCTGCGATGGTTTGGAGGCTCCGGCTCCGACGATCTCGCACCTTCCGGGAACAGACGGCGGCTCCCAAAGGATCAGGAGAGAGGGGAGACCCAGACACGGAAGGGACATCAGCCAAACTCTGCAGTGACGGTCAGCCGAGACCAACGGGTAGAGCCCCGGGATCTGGGCCGGCAGGCACCCGATGGGCCCACCCAACGCCGGACAGTGGGCCCAGACAGCGCTGGACATTGGGTAGCTCACACAGCAAGGAAAGAGAAAAAGGACTGAAAGGTGTGAGGATGGAGAAGGAAGGCAGGTCGTCACCGACGGCGGATAACCTGTCCAGAAGGCCCAAAAGAACAGCCAACCACTGAGGATCGAGTTTACCAGAAGAGCTCGCCCGAGGAGACACACAACCTCGTCCGGCCACCTGAAGGCCCTCTCAGTGCCACTCAAGGGGCAACGCGCCGGGACCGCCCAGGGCGAGTGTGCGCCAGGGGCCAGCCTTGCGGGGGGCGGGGACGGCCGGCCAGGCCGGTCGGGCGCAGACTCCACCCCCCAGCCCCAGTCATTCAGGGCGGCAGCGCTACAAAACAGCAAGGGCTGGGAAGGCCAGCAGGCTCACTGGCGGGCAGCAGGACGCTGTCCACGTGATGGCACTCACCCAGACGGAGACCCGAAAAAGCTGCATCCCGAATACAGACTCTGGGGGTGCTTCTGCACCCCTCATATTTCTCATCAGAGTGCCCCCCACATTCTGCTCATCTCCCCTGGGGCCCCGCCCTCACCAGCACCCCTCCAGGGCACCACCACCTGCACGGTCTTGGCTTCAGCCCTGGTTACAAACCCAGTTTTTAAAAATTGGGCACAAAGACTTGGACAGGCACCTCCCAGGGACATCGTGTGGACACTCTGCCCTGGAGGGGCGTGGCCTGGCTCTCCGCGGGGTGGGGGGAGACAGACCTGGGAGGGCAGAGCTTGGGTCGCCGGGGGGGCGGGGTGGGGGGATACTGACCCCGAGTGCTGGCGGGGCAGAGCTGTGCAACCCCCGGCACCCCGGGCCCACCAGGCACTATGACCGGAGCACCCGCCCCGACCACAAGCCCACCCGACGCGTCCCCCAGGACACACGAGAGGCCCTGCGGCGCTGAGTCCGCCAGCGGGATTCCTGGTTGCCCGGCTGGAAACAGCCCAGCGGCCCCCGTCTCTCACCCCTCGCCGCAGGGATGGGTCTCAGCAGGAGAAGGAACGGGGGGACAGGTCCCAGCATGCGTGAACCCCAAAGGCACCGTGCCCTGGGAAGCAGGCTCCAGGGGCACGTGCTGGGGACGGCACCTGAGGCCCCAGAGCGCAGACCTGGCAGGAGCTCAGCGCGACGCGACTGTGTCTATCAGACCACAGAGCTGCACGGCGAAAGGCTGGTTTCCTGCCTCGGCACACCGGCTCTGAGGGCTGTAGAAACAGCTGAGGGAAGCCGCGGTCCTGACTCAGGAAGCCGTGGTGGGCAGTGGCTCCTGGTGGCCCCACCGGGGCAGGGTCGCCGTCGGGAGCCCGGACTTGGCCCACGGCCCCAGCGCCAGCCCCGCACACAGCGTCGCCCGTGGCCAGGACCTCCCCGGGAGGGTGAGCGCCGGGCTGGCCCCTGGGCCCGAGCTCAGACCAGAGGCCGGGAGGGAGCGCCCTGGCCCAGCGGGCGCCCCACCCCGGGCCGGCCCCAGGGCCAGGGAAGAATCTGAAACCCAACGTCCGGGTGAAGACTCTGTCCCTTTGTCTCCCGCCCCGACATCGCGGTGTTTGAACAAGGATTTCTCCAGAGCCCCGACGCGCGGGAGGTCACCTGCGCGCATTCCCCTGCGCCCCTGCAGCCCCCGAGCCGAGTCCCTTAATGCGGCCTGGACGCAGGCAAAGGCACGCCGGGAAAGCCAAATAAAGCGCCGTCTCAAAGAGCATTTTTTAAAAGGCAAACATCAGCCCGGTGAGTATTAAAAGCACGTCCTAAAATCCACACCGATGACAGTTTAAGAAGCGCTTTCATGTGTGGGGGCCCGGCCGGCGGGGCGTCCCTGCCAGTGTTTACCCAGCAACGCCGGCCGGGCCCTGAGGAGCCCTGTCAGCGCGGCCGGCGGCACCTTTGTCTCGCACAAGAACCCACTCGCCCCTTTCAAGTCCGGCCGCCGCGCGGCTGTTGACTCAGCGCGGGGGTGACAGCGCCCGCCACGGCGCCCGCCCGGCCCTGCCGCTGCGCCGCGTCCTCGGGCTCGGATCAAAGTGCAGCTTCTGGAGACACGGCCGGGAAGGACAGACGGCGGCTGTCTGGGGCGGGGGCCACTGTCACCGTCCAAGGCAGCCCCGGTCCAGGCTGCAGTGAGGTCGGGCTGGACCCCGTGAGGCGGAGGCGCGGCCCTGCCCAGCCCCAAAGGCCGCACGTGGGGCACACGGGGAGGACACGCGCTTCCCGCCCGCGCGGCCGGGAGCTGTCCCCGGGGGCCCGGCCAGGAGCTGTCCCGGGGGGCCCGGCCAGGAGCTGTCCCGGGGGCCCGGCCAGGAGCTGTCCCGGGGGGCCCGGCCAGGAGCTGTCCCGGGGCCCGGCCAGGAGCTGTCCCGGGGCCCGGGCCCGCAGGAGGACGGGGAAGGCCCGGCAGCGAGGCGGGCGGAGCCGGGCCTGGCGTCCACGCCGCGGGGGGCCCGAGGCCTGCGGGGCCACTGTCCGCCGGGCCGGGCCGGGGCGGGAGACCCCACGGGCGGGCCTGTCCCCCGCGGCCGCCGCGAAGTCCCCGCCCGCCCAGCGAGCCGGGGAGCGAGGACAGGGGCCGGCGGGCCGGGCGGGGCACGCGGGGGACCCGGGCGCCGGCCTCCCCACCGGAGGCGCCCAGAGACCGCGGCGCGCGCGAGGCCCCGGGGGCGCCGGGGGCGCGGCCAGGGCGGGCCCAGCCGGGCCCCACGCACCGGCCGGCCGCCGCGCATGCGCAGACGCGGGGCCCGCGGCGGCAGCGGCGCGCATGCGCAGAGCGCGCCCGCGCGCAGGCGGGGGCGGGGCCGGCGCGTTGCCAGGCAACGGCAAGCTCGGCGGAGCCGCGGCGCGGCGCGGTGGGTGCCCCGTGGGGGGTGGGGGGGCTGCCGCCGAGCCGGGGGCGCGGGGCGCGGCCGGGAGGGGGCCCGGGGTCCGCGCGGCCGACGCTGGGCCGTTGCCGGGCGGTGGCGCGTCACCGCGAGTGTCCGGCCCCCGCTGCGGCCCTGAGCGCCCCGCTGACCCCCCCCCCCCGCCGCCAGGCCCCCGGCCGCCAGGCCCCCGGCCCGCCGTCTGTCCAGCACCAGCCGCACCTGCGGCGTCGGGGCGCCGGGTCCCGAGCACGCGCCGGTCCGCCCGCCGGGTCCACCGCGCCGCAGGCCGCAGTGCCGGGCGGAGAGTGGCCGCTGCTGCCCGCGGGCCGGCCGGGCGCAGGTCGGGGTTCGCGAAGGAAAACGCGGTCCGGGGCGGGGCGGCGCATCCCGGAGCGCCTCTGCCCGCGCCGCCCGGCCCTGGGGCTGCTCTGCGCGCCCCGCATCCTGCCGGCGGGGGGGGGGGGGGGGGGGGGGGGGGCGCGCACCCCGCATCCTGCCGGCGGGGGTCGCCGTCTTCAAAGTAGGAGATTCTGGTAATTTATTACCATTTCAGCCACCTCGGCCTTCACAGCCGGGACCCGGGGACGGAAAGGACGCGCCACGCGCCTCGGCGGGTCCGGGCCCCCCAGCGCACCCCGATGCAGCCCCCGCACCCCGCAGGCCCGATGCCTGCAGGCGTGGCCCTCCGGTGTTCGGTGTGAAGCCCGCTCAGGCAATTAGGCCCTGACACTGTCCTACCATCAAAACTGCATTATTCCTCCCATCCCGGCACATCCTGGACTCGCCCGGTAACCCGCATCCTTGTCTGAAAGCTCAAAGGTCCATTCCCGGCTCTGGGGGGGGGGGGTCAGGCCCGGGCAGGCGGCACCAAGGCGGCCGCAGTCCTGGCAGGGCCCTGCCTGACGCGGCCTTGACCCGCTTCCCGGGGAGGGTACCCTCGTGCGTGTCCAGCCGCCAGCCCGCTCCGCGCCTCCCTCCTCTGCCGGGGCGCCGACCCCGCGCTGGGCGCTCCCACACACCAGGCCACTCTGTGTGTCCGTGTCCCGAGTTGCCCGGCCACCCCGCGCCCCCTGTGGGCGCTGCCCTGCTGTCCTCGGTGCTACGGGCGTGAGGCTCGTGTCTGCTGCGCCGGACGCTGCCGGTGGTGGCCCTGGCCCTTCCCGCAGCCAGCCTGCGGGGCCCCTGCAGACCAGCTGGGGGGCCCCACCCCTAGCATGAGCCCTGGTCCCCCACCCTGTCCCCACAGCCTCCTTGTGACGGTCTCTGCAGAGTGGAAGGCCGTGAGGGGGTGTGACCATGCCTGGAGCGCGCCTGCCCCTTTCCCGCCGCGGCACGTTGAGAAACGCGGTAGGCGACCCTCTCTCTCACGCGAGGTGCCACGCGCCCGGCTCCAGCCCAGCCCCCCGCCCGTATGAAGGCGAGGCTGCAGGCCTCACCCCACCCGGAGCTGCCGGCTGCAGCGCTGAGCTCCACGGTGCTTCTGAGTGTGCCAAGAGTTACGTTTTTACCAAAAAAAGCACACACCTAAATGCCAGCTTCCCTGTGGAGTCTCAGAAGCGCGGTCTGTCTGGGGCCTGATTCCGTCACGGCGAGCCCATGTGTTCAGGCACGCTCAGCTTTTATGGGTCAGGATGAATTTATTCATGTAATAATTAAGCCTTTAGTAATTAAATGCGAGGCCATTACCATGTTGTTAGAATAAACCGAGAGCCAGGCTTTGCTCTGCCCTTGGGGAAACTTGGGTTTGGCCTCGCAGGCCGCCCAGCCCCGCCGCCGTCCAGGCCCATCGCTCTGGCCTGAGCGGCCCCCGCCTGAGCTCTGTGCCCCTTCTCCCCCTGCCATCCAGGGACACCCGGCGCGACAGGAGAACGTAGCAGTGACGGCAGTTGCTCTCCAAGACCACATCTCACACGGCCTTCAGCTTCGAGACCTGTCGCTCGCAGATCACTCCAAGACAGAGGCACAACAGAAAGGAAATGGGCCCAAGTCTCTAAAGCGAAACGCAAAAGCGGTGGTGGACTCCGGGCTTCCAAAACCCGCCCCGAGTCCCAGAGCGGAGGGTCCAGAGAGAGAGTACGTCCTGGGCCCGCGGCGGCCACCGCTGACCCTAGGTGAGCGCCCCGGCTGCCGCGAGGGCCGCGCCTCCCCACGGGCCGAGGCCGCAGGGGTCCGCCGCGGGAGGAACGGCCCTCGCCCCGGCGGGAGGCGGCGCGCGCAAGTGAACGGGCGGTGACAGGGGACCTGCCGCGAGCAGGACGCGGCCGTGCACGCGCTGAAGCAGGTTGCTAGTGCTGGAGAAGCTCTTCCCGCCGGCAGGGTGACCGCAGCGGCGATGGGAAGCCGGAGGCCACCTGGGGGAGGTGGGGCGAGGCCCGCGTCCCGGAAGGAGACCCCCAGCGGGAGCTGAGCGCGGCGGGGCCCAGGCGGAGGCCCGCGGGCTCTCCAGGCTACTTGCCGCCTTTCCGGTCTGGGACGGGTCTCCCCACCCCCTCCGGACAAGGCCCCCGAGCGCCCCCTGGCCCTGCTGCCCTCCTGTTACCGGTCAGCCCCCGGAACCAAGCCTCCCCTCTGGCCACTGTCCCGTCCACGCGCCCGCCGCTGTGGTTTCTGCCCTGGGGATTGAAAGGCGCCTGATAGGCCAAAGATTTTCCTGCCTTTTCTTCGGTGGCTTTTAAAGCTTCGCCTTGGGCATTCAGGGCAGGATGGCCGGGGGCGCAAACCGGAGGGCCGCCCCTACCCTCGCCTCAGCCGGGTCCTGCCTGCCTGGGCTCCCAGCCGGCGCCGCGCGCCACGCGGTTTTAATAAACAAGCTTTTGTGTAACCGGCAGGCACAGATCCCAACCCACCCCCAAATACCTCCAGAACGGCACCTCCTCATACATGAAAACACAGTGAGTGGCCGTTACGGGTCCGTCTTTGAGGAGACATTCCTTCTGGAACCTTCTGTCATTCTCCTCCTGGCGGGACGGTGGCCCCTGGCGCAGGTGCAGGGCTGGGAGGCGGCATCTCCTCAGCCCCAGCCTGTGCTGACCCCACTGGCTCTTCGGGGTCAGCCCCCCCTTCCTGGGCTCGCTCACCGCCCGCCCCCGCCCCCGCCCGGCTGAGGGGTGCTGTCGCTTCCCGAGAAACTGCGGAAACATCCGTGAGCCGCTGGCGCAGCCGGGAGTTCCCAGGGCACCGGCTGGGAGTCTCGAGACTCGCCTCCGCGTGGCTGTGACGGCCCACGCGGTCCCGACGCCACTCCCCCCGCCCCGCGGCGCTCAGCTCCCAGGACCTGCTTTTCTCCTCCCCGGGGAGCCCCCGTGGCTCCGGCCCGGCTCTGCGCTGCAGCCGTGGCTCCCTGCGTCTCAGGAGAGCTCCGCCGCCACGCTGGGCTGGGGGTGCCGCTGACTGTCCCCTCCGCCCGCAGGCGGCAGAGCTTTTGGGGTCCGGCTCTCCGGCTCTGGGGGGGACGCGTGGGTGTGGTTGGCTGCCCGTGGGGGTCCGGCTCGGTGCGCCGGGGACACCTGTGCTGTCTCCTGCCCATTCCGCCCTAGCGCAGAGGCTGGGCCTGCTGGACGCCCCCCCCTCGCCACTGTCGGCCGCCGAGTGGGATGAGGCCAAGCAGAGGTCGGCGCGGCGCGGGGACTCGCTGCAGCCCTGCCCCGTGTGCCGCGAGGACTTCGAGCTCCGCCCGCAGGTGCCGCCCCACCTCTCCCCGCCCCGGGCCACGCCACGGCCCTGGCCGCGCCGCCCCCCGTGCGGCCGCCCCGCGCGGCCCTCCCCCGGCTGTGTGGCGCCGGCCAAGGCAAGCACTGCTGACGCCTCCAGGGCGGGCGCTCTGAGCAGCAGAAGGTGCCCCCGAACACGACCCTCGAGCACCACAACCCGCCCTTGAGGCCGGGCGGGCGTGGGGTCCAGAGGGGACGGCCCGGGCCGGCAGGCACAGTGCTCCCAGGGGCCTCAGGCCGTGGCCCCTCACCCGGGCTCCCGCGCCCGCCCGGCCTGGGCCGCCCCTCCGGGCCGAGGGATAATGTGACCGCGAGGCACGGGCCGGGCCTCTGTCAGGTCGCCGTGTGGGGGAGCACAGTGCCAGCTGCTCCTCCAGGGGCCGATCGACCCCGTCCCTTCCCCGCTCCCCCTCCGCCCCCTCCCCCCTCCGTCAGCGAGGCTGCGGCGGGTGGACCTCGGCCGGGTGGACCCTGCCCGAGGCCAGGGGCGCGGGGCCCCTCGCCCGCCTCCCCCCGCGGAGGCAGCGCCCAGCACTCGCGGGTGCGAGCCTCGGGCGCCCAGTCTTCCCCGTCTTCCGCGGCAGGTGCTGCTGTCCTGCTCCCACGTGTTCCACCGGGTGAGTCCTCCCGGGGTGCAGCCAGCCCCTGCCCGGCAGGAGTGGACCCGGGGCTGCCCCGCTGCACCACCTGCTCAGAAACTGTGGGCCTGGAGCCCCCGGCGGCGAGCAGACGGCTGTTGGGGGGGCGGGGTCTGGGAGGTGCGCGGGCCAAGGGGCGAGGGGTGTCAGGGGGACGGGGGTCCAGGGGGCGTGGGCGGGCGGGGAGCAGGGCGGGGCCCGAGGGCGAGGGGCAGCACTGGGCCCGCGACCCCGAGGCCTCTCCCGTCTACATGTCGACGCTTGTGAAAAACACCTCGGGAGCGAGTTTCACTGGGCAGGTGTCAGCACCTGATGAAACCTCGCCAGCCCGTCATCTCGATCGGACGGGTCTCCTAATGCGGGGGGGAAGGACACTGTAATTACCGGCAGCAAGAACGCGGGTGTCGGGGTGGTGACTCGCGTTCTGAGTGGAGTCTCTCCCCAGGCGTGCCTGCAGGCCGTCGAAAGGTTCACCGGTAAGAAAACGTGTCCTCTCTGCAGAAAGGACCAGTATCAGACCCGTGTCATCCACGACGCGGCCCGGCTCTTCCGGACAAAGTGTGCCTCCAGGTAGGCGAGGCGGGGACCGGACCAGCCCAGCCCAGCCCAGCCCCAGACAGCCCAGCACAGCCCCAGCCCAGCCCAGCCCAGCCCAGCCCCAGCCCAGCCCAGCCCCAGCCCAGCCCAGCCCAGCCCAGCCCCAGCCCAGCCCAGCCCAGCCCCAGCCCAGCCCCAGCCCAGCCCAGCCCCAGACAGCCCAGCCCCAGCCCAGCCCAGCCCCAGCCCCAGCCCAGCCCAGCCCCAGACAGCCCAGCCCCAGCCCAGCCCCAGACAGCCCAGCCCCAGCCCCAGCCCAGCCCAGCCCAGCCCCAGACAGCCCAGCCCCAGACAGCCCAGCCCCAGCCCCAGCCCAGCCCAGCCCCAGCCCAGCCCAGCCCCAGACAGCCCAGCCCCAGCCCCAGCCCAGCCCAGCCCAGCCCCAGACAGCCCAGCCCCAGACAGCCCAGCCCCAGCCCCAGCCCAGCCCAGCCCCAGCCCAGCCCCAGCCCCAGCCCAGCCCCAGCCCAGCCCCAGACAGCCCAGCCCCAGCCCCAGCCCCAGCCCAGCCCAGCCCCAGACAGCCCAGCCCCAGCCCAGCCCAGCCCCAGCCCAGCCCAGCCCCAGCCCCAGCCCAGCCCCAGCCCAGCCCAGCCCCAGACAGCCCAGCCCCAGCCCAGCCCAGCCCCAGCCCCGGCCCCGCCCCCCCCAGCCCCCAGCCCCAGCCCAGCCCCCCTTAGCCGGCCTCCACCCCCCAGGATCCAGGCCCACTGGCGTGGGCACGTGGTCAGAAAGTGGTACCAGAACCTGCGGCGCGTGGTCCCCCCTACAGACGCCGGGCTCAGGAGGAAGTTCTTTGAGGCCAAGGTGGGGACACCCGCATCCCGCAGGGGCCGCGCGGGGTTGCTTCTCCTCCTCTCTGGTCAAATGATAAAATCTGTGACATTCCACGACTATTAAGCTCAAAGCCGCGCTGGCCGTGGCGGGCCAGCCGGCCCAGACTGACTCCAGCGAGAGGACGGAACCCCGCGGGGCGCCCCCGCCCCTCGGGGCTGGCCCGGCTGGCGGCGGCCGGTTTCTTGCAGCACTGCGCTGTGGGCTCTCGGGGTTCCTACTGGGGGGGCCCCCAGCCAGTGCGCCGACACCTTCGTCCTCACCCTGGGCGCCACTCACGCTCTCCCGCTAGCCCTGAGAGATGGGGGTCACGCGGCCTGAAGGCGCCCCACCCCTGCCGGCGCTCGCCCCCTCCTGCGCTTGGCTCAGGCCCGGTCCGGGACACACGCCACCGCTGCCGGGCTCCGCTGGCCAGCCCCCCACCCGGGCACTCCCCTGCCCCTCGCCGCCCCCTGGCCCAGCCTGCAGCCGCCCTCTTCAGAGCCCAGGACTGGAGAGAAGGCGGGGGCTCGGGCCCGGCAGGAGGGTGCCCCTTCCTGACCCTGGCCGGCTGCTCGCACACGGCCCTCCGTCCGCGGGAAGAAATCAGGCGCCGCGGGAGACCTGGCCGCGGGACGGTGGCCCAGGCCTGGAGGGGAGGTGGCCCGTTACGGCTGCATGACCAGATGGCTGTGAGCAGTCCAGGGGACCCCCGTGCAGGAACTGGGGGTCACAGGAAACGGAACCCCAGCAGGAGCGGCTGGGAGCGGCACAGCGGCCCCCAAGGGCGGGATGCGGCCCGCGGCTCCTGCTGGGTGGGTCCCGGTCAGTCGGGAGGCGCAGAGTGACTGGCCACACGACGCAGAGCCAGGCCAGCTCCCCGGCCACAGAGATGCGCTCGAGCAGCTCCGGGGGTGCCGGTCCGAGGGAGAGGACGGAGTCGCCCGTTGAGCGGAGGGACAGGGCCGGCCACGTGGCCAGCAGAGACTTGAGCCAGACGCTGTGGCGGGAGGCCGAGGTGCGAGGACGTCGCGATGAAAGTGGTTCCCCAGGAGGACGTAACAAAATGAGCTCCAAACGCGCAAAGGACCGAAGACCTCAGGCCACGGAACCGCGAGAAGCCGGCCCCCGAGCAGTCCCGGTGTGGACGTGGCCGCCGCAGCCGCATGGCCCCGAGGAGGGCGAGCAGCTCGGGGTCAGAGGCCCCGAGTGAGCGTTTTTCAAAGGGCAACACCGGTGACCGGGCCCGGGAGGGGAGCTCCCCGTGTGCTGTCGGCCCTGTGAGGGGGGCCCAAGGCTGCCCCCTGCTGGGTGTCCCCCCTGGGCACGAGCACAGTCCACAGGGGCCGGCGGGCGAGGGACGGTGTGGGGTGTGCGGTGACGGGATGGCCCCCGGGCAGCAGGCGGCCCCACCGAGGAGACGGATACCACAGCCGCTCCGCGGGGCCCCGCACGGCACAGGACGGAGCCAGAGCACCGGGGCCACCTGCCAGGTGGACGGTCTGCCCTGTGGCCACTCAGCTCGAGGTGGCCGATTCCGTGGGCCAGGGAGACCGGCCACCTGCCCTGGTCCTGCCTGGGACGATGGCCCGGCCCTGCCCACTGGGGCGCCCGGGGCTGCCACTCTCCTGGTGCTTGTAGAAGCCGCGGCCGTGGAAAGGGGGCCTCTGCCTCCAGTCCCCGCGGTCAGTCCCAGCGGTGAGGCCGGAAAGCACCGGCCTGGCCCGCCCGTCCAGCCGCACCTCTGCAGTGACCGCGACGGAGTTTTAGTCTTTTCACCAGGAAACAAACTTCCATGTTTTGGTAAAAAAAAAAAGAAAAAAGAAAAAGGAAAAGAAAAGCTTAAACTGGTTGTGTCAAGTGAAGAACATGTTGTCTAGCACAAGCTCGTCAGTACAGCGAAGCGTCACCCCGCGCAGTGCACAGACTCGGCTGCCTCAGCACCAACTGGCCCGGCCCGGCCGGTCGCGCGGGCTCCGGGCCAGCTGAGCCCGGCCCACGCGGAGGAAACGCCCAGGCCAAGGTGACAGTGGCTTCAGAAGGTCCCTCCGTGGCCGGCGGAGAGCACCCTGGTTCCCAGGCGGTTCCGGAAGGTTCTGGTGCCTGTGCAGCACGATGCTGTCCGCTCCACCTCTGCCACCGCCCACCCCCAGCCCCCCACGGGCGCGTGGGACTCGGGCCAGGACATGTGAAGAGGATGCGGGAAACGAGAGGTTCACAGGGCAGCGTGCGCAGTAAGAAGCCATGGCATGTGGGGCGCAGCACCCTCATGGGGGGCCCGGCCCGAGTGAGGATACCCCCCGCCGCCCCCCGCAATGCTAAATTAGCGCAAATCACTTCATCTTTGGTCTGCACCGCCTGAAACTGCAGGTTACGGGGGAAGCGGCTGCGGGTCACAGCCTGAGGCCGGGGCCCAACAGCTCTCCCCGCGTGGCCCCAGCGCGGCGGCCGAGGGCACCTGCGGAAGTGCCGAGAGGAAGGCGCGGCTCTACGGTCACTGCCAACCCTCAGGACATTCCGCTTCCAAGCAGGAGCTGAGACGCCAGCAGGAGGCCACGCAGGGCCACTCGCCAGCAGCGTGAGCAGGCCCAGGCCGGGGAGGCCTTCGCGCCGGGGGCGTCTGGCGTCCGAGGCCCACTTTGTCGGCCGGCGGACAGGGGGTTCCGCAGGAAGTGGCCTTGGGGACATAAGCCCGGAGGGAGGAAGGGGCCAGGAGGCCGGCGGCCGGGTCAGGGGGGGTTTGCGGGCCTGCGGCCGGGCCCCAGCACTCCGGGCGGTGAGCTCGGGCCACTGCCTTGGGCACGAGTGTCCTGCAGGGCCCGCGGGGGGTGGCGCAGCCTCCCGTTCCTCTCCCGCCTCTGTGGGTCAGCACCGGCCCTCGGGCAGGCCCCGGAGCACAGCGGCGGGTCCCCGGGGAGCCGAGTGCGGTGGGACGCGGGAGGATGAGTCTGTCCTGGTGGGCCGCTCCCTCCTGCCGGCACCAGATGAGAGCCCGGGCCCCTGGGGTGGGCCCGCCCGTGTGGACAGAGGGGCCTTTGATGCTTATCTGCGCGCCCAGCCTCCCCGCAGACTGGAGGTCGGGCCTTTTATGGCTGCAGTTAAGACTCTGCAGATGCCTCATGTTATCCCACCCGCCCCAAGCCCGCGGTTGTTTAAAAAGTGAGGTTAGCAATTTGTCAGATGTGGGGCGAACCCTGGGGCCTCCTGCCCCGGCCCAGCAGGAGGGGCTCCTGCCCTCCCACTTCCATCTCGCCAAACAGCCATCGCAGAGTTTGCTCACCCGGCCCCCGGCCCCTTTATCGCGGGGAGACGCAAACACCGGGTGCTGACTCAGAGGGGCTCGCGGGCCGGGGGCAGGAGGCCAGTAAACGCTTATCAGCGGATTCACTGATAGGCCGTAAATTCCAGGTCTTTCATTTTGCTTTTGAGAGCGGCCGTAAGTCAACATATTAGGAAGTGATTTGCTGACAAGGAGGCGTCGGCAGGGCCTGGGCAGGGCTCACCTGCGCCTTTGTTAGCCAGGGCCCGCATGCCGCCGCGCGTCTCTCGTGAGTGACCAGCACTTGCTTCACCTGACAAGAGCCTGCACTCCTGGCCACTGCACTGACCAAGAAGCTGAGATATGAGGCTTTAAAAGGAAAAATATCCGAAGACGCTCATTCTCTGTAAAGTGGAAACTCGCGTGGATTGTGTGTTTCCCTGGCATGAACACTGAGCATCCGCTGGAAAGCTGGAACCGACCCCCACCGGTGCCCGCCCGCCGCCGGCCTTCCCGTCACCAAGGGCGTCTGGCCGCGCAGTGGGGAGCAGAGGCGCGGGGCACTCGGGAAAGATCTGAGAGGCGCGGCCGCTTGAGCGCGGGGGTGCGGCTGTGGCACTCTCGCCCCTAAGGCAAGGTGCAGCACTTGCAGGGAAAATGCAAAACCCCTCGCTGGCCGTTCACTCCACCCAGACACGGCAGGTGTCCCATGTGCGCGGATCAGTTAAACAAAACGCCGTTAGAATTAATTTCACGTTTTTAACGCCTTACGTGGCTCCCCGGAGACTCTAAGGTTAGAGAGGAGGCTGGCGTCCCACTTCACTGGGGCAGACCCAATCCAGAGTCACGCCTAAGACTTATGTTCTAGAAAGTTCTAAAAACAAGTATACCAGAAGTTTTTTCTAAGAATATCATCACACGCCTCTTTGAGAAGTTTAGGGAGAGAAGCCAGATGCAGTCTTGTCCCCAGAGCCCTTTGACAAAGGCCCCCTGCCGCCCCCTGCAAGCCCCCCTCTGTCCTCCCGGGCCCCTCACAGTGAGCCCCCCGCCCCCCACTGAGAGCCCACATCCCTACAACTTGGCCGAGATCCATGAGACCGCGTCCTTCCCAGCCCACAGGAGACTGACGTTGGGGTCCGTGATTCCACGTCACTGACCTTCTAGGATTTCTGCTCCTCTGTTTGTTCCTGAGAAATCATGCAGGACTTGCGAGGACCAGGCAATCCCTTTAAAACCTGTACAGCTGTAACCAAATCACACCAAAAACAATAACCATCTGAATTTAAAAACCCACTAAGGCTCAAGACGTTAAACTTCTAACAAATAATCCAGGACATCTAGGACTCCGCCTTTTTAAGATCGGCCGGTGGTGTGCCGATGGCAAGGCACGCGGAGGGTGGCGAGCCCTCATTCGGGGAACAAAATTGGCAGAGACCAGGGAGAGTCACCATAGGCAGCATCTCCAAGTTAGCGCTTGTGGCCAAGCTGAGCCGAGAGGTGACGGCCTGCGGGGCTGGGCTGGGCACCCTGCAGGCAGCCGGGGGGCGCCCGTGAGCCTGTGGCGTGTGCATTATCCGGGCAAGTTCCAGTTTGCTGAACAGATCTCAGCAGATCCACCCTGCCAGGCTCCGTGGTAGCACGGGCTGCACTCAGGGGCTCGTGCTGGCAGTTGCGCGTGCTGCCAAGAGGAGGCAGTGGCATGTCCTGCCGCAGCCCAGCTCACTCCCGAGAGCCGGGGTCGTCGGGTCAGAACGGATCACTTCACAACGAGCTTGGGGCTGTATTCAAGGGCAGCACTTCTGAAGCAGACTTTTCAAAAGCGTCAGCTACGGGTAATACGCCGCCTCCCTGTCCAGCCAGCAGTGAGCCCTGACCGCGCCCCATGAGCCGGAGGCATCAGCTGCATAAAAGGTTTTCATTTCCCGCTGTCCTGAGGCCACAGGGCTTTCAGGCCCTGGTGCTGGAGCTGAGAACAGTGAGCTGCTGGCTTACAAGAAGGCGACCGTCTTGTCTCGGGCTCTTTCTGACGGTCCCGCACAGCCGTGTGGGGAGATGCTGGCGAGGGCCGCGAGCCAGCTCCAGGCCCGAGGCCCGGCCAGGCCCGGGCAGCCGTGGTGCTGCGCAGGGGCCTCGTCCTCGCCTGCCACCCAAGCGACCCTGCGGCTCACTGGCAAACCCCGTGCCTTCTCGCTCACCTTCCGCTGTCAACGGGCTTCCGGCTAACAGCGCCCGCGGCCAGGCCAGGCGGGCGTTCCAGTCGCCTCTCGGGTCGGTCCCAGTCACCGCGCGCGTCGGTCTCTCCGCGTTAGCAAAGGCAGAGGCGGGCGGACAGGCAGGTGCGGCCCCTCACCGAGCCCCGCCCCCAAGTTCGCAGAGATCAGCGGGCGCCTGCTGCGCTCCTACCACACCGACGTGGACGCCCTCTTCTCGGAGATCGACCGCTGCCTGGCCCTCAACCGCAGCGTCCTGCAGCAGCTGGAGGACAGGTGCGGCCGCGAGCTCACCGAGCAGGACTGGGAGCAGATCCAGATGCAGGTGGGCAGCAGGGGCAGGCGCAGGCAGGAGGGGGGGCAGTCAAGGGACCCGGTTCCAGGCCAGCCCTGCCCCGTGTCCGCACCAGCGCTGAAACCCCGTCACAGGCCTTGGGTGCCGGCCAGGGCCCTTCAGTCTGAGACCCTGGTTGGGCGAGGCCGTCTGTGAGTGACGGAAGCCCCTCGGGGGCGAGACGCCTGCGGCCCCCTGCTGGAGGGAGGCATCTGTAGTGGCCTGGGGAGAAAGGGTGATTCAACACCCGACAGAGGTTAGACTTAGGAAATCACAGAAACAGGGACATTCCGAAGTTCAGCTCCCTGGAACGTCTGAAAGTCCCGGCCTCACTGTCCGGTGAGCTGGCACACGGCACCGGTACCGCCAGCCCAGAAGCCGCTGTCCTGGCCCCGGGGAACGGGCGCTGGCAGGGACGTCCCGGGTCCCCCGGCATCCTCGCGTGCAGGAGACCCGGCCCCCCGACACGCCCCCGTGTTGCAGGCTCTGCAACGGGACAGCTCCGAGTGCCCCATCTGCCTCACGCCGCTGGAGGTGCCCGGCGCAGGGGGCCCGGCGCCCCGCCGCGAGACCGTGCTCCTGTCCTGCTCCCACCTGTTCCACCAGGCCTGCCTCCTGGCTCTGGAGGAGCTGGCCCCGGGCGACGCGCTGCCCTTCCACGCCTGCCCCCTTTGCCGCTCCTGCTATCAGAAGAAAGTCCTCGAGTGCTGAGGCCACGGTCAGGAGAGACGTCGCAGTCGGGGGCGCGGGGGGCTCGCCTGGTGTGTTGGGGTGAAATACTCTGTCCCCGGGGAAGGGAGCTCGAGCACTTGTGCATAAGAAAACGAATCCTGTTCTAAAGCCGACGCCCCACCTGTGTTTGATTCCGAAGAGGAAATTCCAAATGCGTTTAATCCACCAGAAAAGGTGAGGGGAGGGATGCGTCGCGGGGTCTGTGACCAGCGAGCAGAGCCCCGGGGCGGGGTGCGCGTGTGTGTGCGTGCACACGAAGGAGGGGGGCCCGGGGGGGGGAGGGGCGCCCACCTGCCCCACCGGCCACCCAGGCCAGGCCAGGCCAGGCCAGGCCGGTGGACACCGTGGCCGCAGCCAGTCTCCCCGGATGGGCCGCAGCTGCTGCCTCTCCCCGGGCCCCCGGGATGCTGGGGCGGCCGCGCTCTTGCTGCTGGCCAGACCGGTCCTGCTCCCGCACTCGGAAGGCGAAACCTCAAAGTAGAGCATTCCGTCGCGTTCAACCTCAGAAGACGCACAGCGGTGCTGTCACGCAAGGAGAGCCCCGAACGGCTCTGGCCAGGGCTCCCATTCCTGGGGGCCCGGGGCCCAGGAGCCAAGCACCCCGGCGCTGGCAGAGATGGGCCTGGACCCCAGAGGTGGCGCACCCCCAGCCCCAGCCCTCTGCTGCCACGGGGCTCCCACGGGGCTCGGCTCCCTGCCTCGCCGGTTGGTTGGGAGGCGCCCACAGGCCACAGCCAGTTACGCGAGGACACATCACCTGGCCAGGGGGCGCGGGCCACGGGTGGCTGAGCGCAGGGGAGGCTGGCTGGGGGAGCCCCGGGGCCAGGCTGGCATGCGTGAGAGCAGGACACCCCCCCACACATTGCCTTCCTCTGGTCTCAGAGTGGGGCCTGCCCGGCCAGCCGCTGACCGAGCGCCAGGAGCCACGCTGGCACCACACGAGCCCCAGGGCAGCGGCATCTCTGACTTAGCGGCTGCCCCAAGCGTGGACCTGGGACGGGCAGGCCCCACATGGACGGTGCTGGGCTTAATGCGGGACACCCGTGTCCACAGCGGCCTGAAGAGCTGCTGGGAGGCCTCCCAGCCGACCCGCCCTCGCTCAGCAGACGGGCTCACGGGGAAGCAGCTGGACCAAGCCAGATACCCGTCACCAAGGGGCCACCGAGGGGTGGGGGAGATGGCTCACAGCCACACGAAGGCCTTTCAGGGCGGCGCTGGCCGCCCTCGCCCCGGGGAAGGTTGCACGAGGTCCTGAGGCGCCTCGGCTTGTCACCGCAGTCACATGGGGCTCCACTCACAGCACATTTAAACACCGACGTTTAGGAACTAGATTCGGTCAAAAATTCAAAGGGCTGATTCGAGTCCGCAGAGAAGCCGCCACGACTGGCCACCTTCCGGGAAGGGGAGGCGGCTCTGCGCTTGCAGGCACGCTGCGGAGGGCGGCGGCGGCCTGGGGGATCCCGGCTGGCACTGCCCACCAACGCCCTGATCCAAGGCCCGCAACGAGCCACACAGTCAGAATCGCCTCTCTGGGCCAGGCTCCACCCTCACTCCGCCCCGCCCCTGCCCTGCCCGCACCCCTGGGCCGGGTCTGCCAAGGAAACACCACCAGGACCGGGAAGTGGACCAAGCTAGATACTCGGGGAAGTGATCAAGGGCAGGAGCCCAGGAGGCCGGGTCAGGCCCTTGTCCCCGGGGCCCCGCGAGCCACCGCTCGACGCTGGGGCTGCCCCTGCAGAGCAGGCCTGATGGTGCTGCCTCCTGCACAAGAAGAGGCACTGCCCGCCGGCCGCACCGTCCAGTCGCACCGTCCAGCCACATGACCCGGGCCCACGGGCTTGGGGCACTGGTGGGTGCCGCAGGAGGCCCAGCTGCTGGAGCACGACAGCAGGGCCCCGCAGAGTCCCCCGGGGTGCTGCCCTGCCCCGCGCTCCGCAGCCCCCCAGGCAGCCTGGCGGGGAGCGCTCCCCCAACCCCACCCGGCCGCTCCCCAGGCCCTCGCACAGCGTCCCCGCGGCCAGTCCTGGCAGCGCCCTCGGACCCGCCACACTCACCCCAGGTCGGCCTCGCATGGGTGGGCTGTGGCAGAGCATGTTGCTTGAAAAGTGTCCAGAAACAGTCTGCACCGCCCCGGATCCCCAAGTCCGTTTTCCGAACTGCAGTTCCGCACCCGCTGGCGCGTCAGGAGGGGCTCCGGTCTGCGTCCGGCACTTGACCAGTCACACAGCCAGCCAAGTGCCCGTGCCACGCACCACGGAAGTTGGCAGTGCCCATGGGTATGTGCAGAGAAGCACGTGGGGTCTGTGTGTGTGTGTGTGGTATAGGGGGTGTGTGTGGAATGTGTGTGTATAGGTGTGCTGTGTGGTGTGTGTGTAGGGGGGTGTGGGGGGTGTGGGGGTGTGTGTGCACTGTGTGGGGGTGTGTGGTGTGTGCTGAGTTGGGCGTGTGGGCTGTCTGGTGGCAGGTGTGGGTGTGTGTGCTGTGTGTGGGGCGTCCAGTGTCAGGTGTGGGTGTGTGTGCCCATTACCATATGAGGTGCTCTCTGAAGCGCTCCGGTTGGGCAGCGCTGGTGCGACAGGGTGACAGCCACTGGGGCACCCACCCTGGGGAGCTCTGGATTCGAGGTGCCACAGCCGGTGCTGCTCTGCTCTGTGGAGGGACTTGGAAGTCAAACCAAACTTAACAGCTCAGAGCATTTGTGGAGAAAACACGCGGCCGTCCACCCCTGCTCCCGGGGCAGGCGAGGGGAGCCAGGGCCTCTCGCGGGGCAGGAAACCCCAGCCCAGTCCGGTCTCCCTGGCCCACGCTGCCAAGGGGAGGACCCCCACCCCCGGCCCCTTCAGCCCCAGGGGACGGCACAGGGGACGCCAGGAGCGCACGCGAGCACTTGTGAACCAAACTTGCCATCACTTGTTATGAAACTTTATTTTCTAGGACATGTAAAAAGTCACGCGGAGGCGCCCACGGAACGTCCGAGGACACAGTAAACAACGCCGACACGGCGCGGAGCGGAGTCCCCGCGGCCAAGCGTCCTGCGGCCAAGCGTCCCGCGGCGACCTCGCCGCACAGTCAGGTGCTGCCGGCGACCAGGCGCAGACCCCAGGACAGCCGGCCCTGCTGCCGGCACCCGCGGCCCGGCGCCCGGCCAAGGGGGACCCGCGGGGCCGTCCTCGCCACCGCCCCAGCCCGCCGCACATTTCCATGGAAACCGGGTCTACAGCAGGTCTACTTGGATCTAGACTGTTCGTAAAGCCAAATGTTAAATCTAAGAAATGACAATCCGTAAAAATCATTATAAATGTTATAATCTGCAAATTTAGAATTTTAAAAGTATTTAAATATTGCAGAACCAACTCGTGCTGGGAACCGGCGAGGGCCCGGGGCCTGTGCGGGGCGCGATGCCCGGAGGGCACGGCGGTGGCCTCAGCTTGGAGAGGCGCGTCTCGCGGGAGCCCCTGCGCGCCGGGAACGCGCCACCGGCACGGCCACCAGAGGGCGGGCTTCCCGCTGGGGGCCGGCACCCCGCAGCCCCCGTGCCCAGGCGCAGGAGACACCGCCCAGCACACGGAGGCCCGCGCGTCCGCAGCACTGGTCAGGGCGCACGGGCTCCTTCACCCGCAGCCCAGGACCAGCCCTGGAGGCGCGCTCTTCGGGCAGGGGCTGCAGCTGTGCCCAGGCGCGCCCGCAGCGCAGCGGCCACGCGGCTCCCTCCCGGTGCGCCTCTGCAGACCGCGGACACGCCTCGGCTGTTCTGATGTGGGCGCCGCATGGAGACCTTCTGAATTTCGGGTACACGGGCGCGCCTCACAGACTCTCCCCACCTGCGGGCCGGCGGCGTGCCTGCAGCAGGGCGGCTGGGGTGGGGCGCGGTCCTGGCCTTCACGGGACGCCGGGCGCATGGAGCCAGAGGCCCTGGCGCGAGGCTTGCAGGCCAGAGCGAGCGGGCCACGGTCACGCTGTCCCCGGCAGCGGAGCTCGGGGCGGGCCGCACGGAGTCCACTGGGGCGGGCCTGATGCAGGCGCTGGGCTCTGATGCCGCCCCGGCTCAGGCCGGCCTCGGTCCGCGGGCACCTCCGCCCGTCACCAGGCCAGGCATGTTCCCTCCACATGGTCATGTCCCCTCCACACCGGCGCGGCCGCCAGGGGCGCAGGAGAAGGCCGGCGTCTCAGAGCGCCTTCTGGTGCCCGTTGGCCGATGGCTTGGCGGAGTCCGGCTCCCGGGGGGCGCTGGACAGGCGCAGCTTGCGGAGCCCTGCGGGAGAACCGGCGTGAGAGAGCGGCTGACCTGGGCTCCGCGGGAGACTCGGCCTTTGCGCCCACAAGACGGCGCCCCAGGGAGACACCGAAACACTGAGCTACGACCAAAACAAGCAACGGGAGGGGCCTCGGAAAAAGTAAAAAATGGCAAAACCAACATAAATATTTCCCGACTCCAAACTACTTACCTGAGAAAAACCATCACTGCCCTGTGGGGGGTCATGAGGCCCCTGCACAGAGGGGACGCTGGGGGCAAACCCGCACAGCACACTGCGCCCACAGGCGGGGTGTCCGGCACGACTTTCATGGGGCAGGCTTTCGCAACACGCAGAAAACTGACTGGGGTGGGGTCACCTGTCCCCCAAAATGCCCACGGCTCCGAGCTGGTGTCAGCCCCGAGTTCGCACAGCCCCAGGCTGTGAACTGTCCACGCTCATCTCAGTGACAGCGAAGACCCAACGCATGACAGGAGGGTGGGAAGGAACCCCCCCAACACAGGAGGGTGGGAAAGGAACCCCCCCATCCCCCAGCCTGCACCGAGGCCCTGGTGGAGCCACAAGAGATGCAGACCCGACCCCTGGTGGCCAGGGCAAAGTCCGGGGAGAGGAGCCCCGCTTCCTCAGGAACTGGGTGTGCAGGCCACACCCCCCAGTCCCCCCCCCCGCCCTCCAATGAGGGACCCCCCCCATGCCCCAGGCTACCCTGGAGGAGCCGGTTGGAGCACCCTGAGTCCTGGGCTGTGCCAGGCGCCTACAGTGCAGACTCTGGCTGTCAGGGCTGCGCAGAGTGACGGGCACTGGAGACAGCTCGTCCGCGTGGACATAGTCCGGTCCCCGTGCAGCCCTCGGGTCTGCGACGGCCCAGGTAACCGGCCCCTGAGGGAGCTGCCCTGGGACATCCGGAGACCCACCGGGAGACCCACCCCCCAGGCGGCTCTGACGTTGGCCAAGGGTCCCCCCAACCCTGAGGACCGCAGCCCTGCCGCCCCCGTGGCTCTAAACTGGCCTCGGCGCCCGCCGCAGTGAGTTGGTGCGTCCAGGGAAGGTGCGGCCACCCGCAGCCCCCAGCCCCCACCCCTGCCTGGTAGGGAAGGCCTGGCCTGGGCTCTACCCCCGACAGACACCAGGCCGCTTCTTGGGCAGCCAGGAAGCACCTGGAATAGGAAAGGCGTCCAGAGGAGGCCATCCGGACCAGGGGCCCAGCGTCAGGACATGCCCCTCGACTGCTGCAAAATCACCCCCCACAAGGCCCAGAGGTTATGGGGCAGCTCGCACCGCCCGGGCAGTGCTCAGCCACACATCTCTAAGTCCTCCTAGACGCAGCCCTCAGTGCCCGCCCCTGGCCCGCCAAGGCCGCTGCGCGCAACCACCAGGTCATCAGCGGGTGACTGGAGGGATACTTGCAAAGTTCACGCCTCAAGCAGCTGACCAAAAACAGGGTCAGGATGCATAGCTACGCAGTGACAGTGGGTGCCCAGCCCAGCACCCCACATGCACTGCCCCCTGCCCCACCGGGGGGGGCCACGAAGCCGCTGCGCTGGCCCTGCTGTCCTGGGGAGGCTGAGGAAGCACCGGCGCAGGACCATGGCCCCCAAGGAGGGGCTGGGCCTGACCCCCCCAGAGCTGAGCCACCACATTCAGGAAAATGAACAGGTGAAGAGTTAAAGTCATTCAAATACCAACACGTCCACAGCCAGAGAGGGCATCCCAGCCCCCCGGGCTCCTAGCCTGGAGAGCGCCCAGCATCCCAGTACTCCGGCCTACAGAGTACCCGGCACCCCATACCTAGGGCTTTGAGGAGCTCTTCCCGCACCGCGGAGGTGAACTTGCGGACCAGGCACAGCGTCGTCACAATCGCGAACAGCAAGTTGTAGGACAGGACAATATAGAAATTTCCCAGCCAATTAAACCTTCCAAAGTCTCCAAGCAGATCAAATCTCGTGATTCCTGTGAAAAACAAATAAACCACCCTTAACACAAGCAGCCACAGATGCTGGCGCAGGCGCAGCACCGCGCATGAGGCGGCTGGACGAGGCGGCCGGGCAGGGCCGGAAGAGAAGGGGGTGGCATGAGAGCACGCGGGGACCAGGCACCTGCTTCCTCCGCCCTCCCTCCAGGCCTCGCCGGGCTCTCCTCCGCCCCTGGCACACGCGGGCCTCCTTTCCCCTCAGAATGAAAGTTCCGTGAGGCCGGGCCCGGCCTCCCAGCCCCGCGCGTCCCAGCCAGAGCAGCGCCTGCGCCCCACACCCCTCAGAGGCGGGCAAGGGAGGAGGTCTTTCCAGAAAGAAACATCCTCTGGCCTCGGACGACACCCTACGCACAGTGAAATGCCATTTTGGAAACAAAAGAGCTCAGTCTATCTGACGGGCGCTGGCCAGACCAGGGTGGGGGTTCTAACCAGTACTCAGCCAGAGGGGCCACCCCTGCACGCGGGGGCTGGTGGCGGGGGGCTCTGCGGCCCGGGACGGTGGCCCCGCACGGAGCGAGGGGCACACTCGAGGGGAGTTAGGCGCAGCAGGGCAGGCGCTCGACCTGCTGTGGGCCCAGACCAGCAGGACACCGGCCACCCCTACGCACCTGGTCCTGGCCTCAGGTCACCTCACGGATGGCACTGGACAAAATGTGAGGCTGTGCAGGGATTTCCAAAGACACGGGTGCTTCAATGCAATGCTTTAAACCTCTTAACTGGCTAAAAGATGGCGCCGGCCAACGCCGCAGGCACGTCGGTCCTGTGAGCTCTGAGAAGACTGCACGCGAGATGCCTCGACCCTCAGCCTCAGCGTCTCCGCTGCGAGGCTCGCGCTGAGCACAACTAAACTGCGCTTTTAGATAAAAGTGCCAACTTGAGAAGAACCAGCACTCCGCGTTCCAGCTTGCTGGCACCGGCCGCACGCGTGTGCAACACGCTGACCTGCACTGCCGTGGGAAGGAACGAGCATTAAGGCAGCAAATTTTAAAGTAACTAAAACAAGAAGAAGATCCCATCGTCAAAAGTTACGTCGCTGTCCCGGGACATCTCGACACGCCTGTTCCACCCAGAGGCTGGTCTCCAGAGGGCGCTGCGGAAAGCAGGCCGGGGGCTCAGCCGCACCGGGGTCGCCTCCGCCGGTGAGCCCATGCCCACCAGGGCCCCCGAGCCAGCTGAAGGCAGCGCGGCGTCCTCAGACAGCAGCTCCCACACTCGGGCCTGCCGGCGCGGCCCAGCGAGGACCTCCCCTGGAGCCAGAGCGGGCACTGCAGCGCAGAGGGCCGGCCCCAGGAAGCCTGATGCACAGAAGGGCCCGTGAAAGTCACTCAGAAATAAGACGGTAAATCGTGCGCGCGGACATTTCGCACCAATGGCTGAACGAACAGCCGAGACTTCAGTGTCAGGTGCCGCAAAGGACACGGCGCCTCGCTGCAAAAGACGAGGCTGTAAAGGAAACGTTCTCTGATGCGACCCTGGGACCCGCGCCGTCCCCGCAGGCCTTCACGGCGCTGCTGTACACTATTACCCTGGCCGCGTCTCAGATTCCTTCTCTAAACCAGCCTTTTGAATTAGATTTACCGAAGACGGCGTCCAAATGTGACTTCCAGAGTATGAAGTAACGCAATCTACAATCCCTCGTAAGCATCACTAGCTTCAGAACTAAGGTCGCCCGCAGGCTCACACTGCCGCTGGCACCCCTCGCTCGGAGCAAAGTCGTCCCAAGGCCGAGGAGTGCCAGGCTGCGTGTGGGAGGGGGTGGCATTCCCACAAAGACCTTAGCCCCTGACAATCTTACTGTGCAAGCAGATTTTCATGAAATCCACCAGTTAGAAATATGTTTTGTCAAACCACCTGTACCCACATCCCATCTGCCGCCCTGGGATACAGGTGGTTTGCAGAGAAAAAAACTAAAAACTAAAAAGAGACAAAAATACACACACACACACACGTACACATGTAAACACACACATGCATATACATACATGTGATGGAGTATTATTTGGCCACTAAAAATACGCTTTGGTTAGGACAGAGTAAAAAGAGACTCAATTTCCTTCACATGTGAATCAACCCCCAAGACCCCAAGACAGACAACATGGACAAACCAGGGTTTCGAGAGCCTGGGCATCCAGCAGTGGAGGTCAGTGATGCGGGCGGGGACACGGGCAAGCGGACCCCCTGTCTGCCTCGGCTCCCCGCCCAGAGGGCCCCCAGGAGGGGGAGAGGGCAGGTCAGTGCTGACACCTCGCAGAGACCTGAGGCCCAGGACAGCACTGCGGCCAGAGCACGGCGGTCAGCAGAGCTGGAGGACAGCGCCCACCCCCAATTCACGGAGGGAAGGGGGCGCGGCAAGAACCTTCAAACGGTCATACCTATGCTCTTGGTGGTTCCGAGACTGCAGGCAAGACCGAGCTTGTGGAGACGCAGAAGACAGCAGTGGGCCTGAACTGACCTTCCACAGAAGAAAATTGTAATGAAAGACAAGGAAACACAATGGATGGGATTGATGACAAATCACACACGATGACAGAAGAGATTAATCGATTAGAAGACAGAGCAATAGAAACTATTCAACATGACACACAGAAAGCAAAAAAAGACAAAAATGAACAGAGCACGGGTGCACTGTGGATTAATCTTAAATAGCTGATATGCTCATGATGCGCCTTCCCGGCAGAGAAGAATGAGACGAGAAAAATATCTGTAGAAAAAAAGGCTGAATAGCTTCCAAATTTGACGAAAACTACGTTCTATAGATCACAGAGCTTGACGAACTCAATGAACAAGAAGTCTGAGAAAAACTATACCAAAGCACATCATAAACTGTTTGAAATTAGTGATGGGGTGAAAAAAAAATTTTTTTTTCAGGGTGAAAAATCTTAACAGCCAAATTTAAAAAGGGGCAAAAAAAAAAGACATCACAAAAGATTTCTTGTCAGAAGCTATGCAAAGGAAGCTGACATGAAATATACTGTAAAGCAACAGTTGGTCAAACAATACGGTCCTGGCAGCACTAGACCCGTGGATCCACGGGGCGAAGTCCAGAATAGACCCAGCCGTGCACCAACGCTCAGCATGGCGAGGAGCCACAACCACCCGCCACAGGAGGAGCGAGCGGAGCGGCTCTTGAACAACAGGGCTGGGAAAACGAGACACGCGGTGAAAGAAGGGCGCTGGCCACTCTCCAGCCCCAAGCACAGGAGCGGCTGACGGGGCGCCGACCGCCAGCCCACGAAGAGGCGGCGTGGAGCAGCCGCGCTGGGCCGTTCAGCCAAGAAAGTGGGACGGATTCGAGTGCCGCGACCCCAGCGGGTGCTGGGCCGGCCGGATCCAGCCGCTTCTGTGTCTGAGTTTCACTGGGAGCATCCTGCGCAGCCGTCACACCCCCAGCGCAGGGGCGCTGTGGGGGCCCGGGCAGCGGGGGGCCCACACACAGCCCCTTGTCCGTGGAGCAGCACGGGACGCCGAGCACCCAGCTCCCTCTCGCCGCAGCGCTGCAGCCCAGCCGCTCCCCGAGGAGCGCACGCGGGCAGAGGGCGGGAGCTGGGGGCTGCGACGGGGCCCCAGGAGAGGCCCGAGGCGGGGGCGTGTGCACGGCCGGGCTGCGGGGGCCGGCACGCGGGGGCACAGGGCCCTCTGTCCCCACCCAACCCGCCCGAGCCGCGGGCATGGGGCGAGGCGCTGACAAGGAGCAGCCAGGCGCGCGGGCAGGTGCAGCCGACAGACACGGCGCCATCCGAGGCCCAGCCTCGGGACTCGTGAGCAGGGGGTCAGGCCACTCGGCCAGAAGAGGACTGGGCGGCGCCAGCTGACCTGGGCCCCGCGGCGGGGGCTCGCCCTGGCCCGGAGGGAAGCGCGGGAGCAGGACTGCGGGCGGGCAGGGGGAGGCCGCTGAGCGCTGGGAGCACCTGCCCGCGTCCACACAGCGCGAGCCTACAGCCCCGGCTAAGGCGGCTGCAGATGGCCGAGCGTGGGCTGCGCAGAAGCCAGCCCCGGGGAGGAGCACAACAGCCGCCCAGGAGCAGCCCCGCACCCCTGGGGAGCAGGCCGGGAGGCCCTGTCCCGCTGCCCCAGAGGGGTCTCCAGGACGGAGCCCCGGGCTGGACTCCCCAGGAACCAACGAGCCCAGGGCCTGGCTCCGGCCCTCGAGGGGAGCCGCCTGCCTAGAACCCTGGCACATGAGGCAGGTAACCTGCGGCTCCGGCTCTGGTGAGGACGCGCCGACACCATCACCCTTCGCTGGGGGGCAGGTGAGGGAAAGGTGGGCTCAGAAACGCCCATGAGACCGGGCCCCCCTGTGTGGGCAGAAGGCCGAGCCCCGGCCTCTGGTCCGGCCAGCAGGGCAGGGAGTGTGCCGGTCCAAAGGGACACTGCAGGGAGGAGGGGCGGAGAGCGGGGAGGGAGAGGGTCTCTCTCTTACACACGCACACACGAACTCACACATGCACACACGGGGGTGGGGGTGCAGTGAGCGCCACGGCCCGCGCACAGCTGGGCCCTCTCTTCTCAGCTCAGGTGGGTGGTGGGCCGAGGTCTGGAGCCGGGGACGAGAGTGGGGCGCTGGGGGGCAGCAAAGGGACAGCTAAGGAACAGCCGGAGGAGAAGGGACGGGGTGGCGGCCGGAAAGGCAGATGGGGAGAGCCAGAGGGGCCCGGACCGCACACGCTGGCCCCGTGGGCGAGACACATCTGGGGACGGGTAACCAGGCCACACGCCGGCGGCGAGGCAGGCCCGCAGGGAAGTGGCTCTGGGCCTTCCACTTTAAGGGCGGGGCGAGTGCCAAGCAAGGCCTCGAAGGAAAGTGGGGACACCTCTCCTGCAGGCACCGCGTGCAGGCACCTGGCCGGCCCGGGGCGCTCCCCCACTCTGCCCAGGGGCTGGGACTGAGGCGGGGGGGGGGGGCACACAGGACTCCAATCTTCAACCTCGCTGCAAGGAGGACTCCTCCGTGTGCGTGCACATGACAGAGCCAGCCAGGCAGCCCCCGGCCTCCAGGGCAGCGACTCCGAGCTGACGGCCCAGGCTGAGACGCTCCGTTTCCAAGCACACCTTAGGGCTCCTCCCAGCTACGGGTGCTGCCTGGAATTATTGTCATTGAAAATGTTTATAACAAACTGCAACTCAAGACATTTGAAAGTGTGTCCACTTTCTCAGGAGAGACTGCGTGTCCAAAACCGGGCATCAGAGGAACACGAGGGCAGCCTGGACCTTGGGGACCGGTGTGGGGGGTTGGAGGTACATCCCGTGGTTTGGGGGGCAGCCTGGGACTCAGAGAGCCAGCTCAGGGTCTAGGAGGCGGGGGGTGCAGCCTGGAAGCTCGGGGGGCACTAGCTGCTCTCTGAACTCTTCCAGACATTTGACCCAGAACACTTGTCTTTATTATTAAAAATCCTCACCAGACACAACGAATGTATTATTCAGAACATCTGTAATCAAAGCTAATTAGAAGACTCCTCTGTGACTTTCTGCAACATGAGTGAATACAATTAAGTTACAAATTATTTGCTGAGAAATTTACAGGACGGGCTTTGGAATTACCTTCACACCAAAGCCGCCATTAGGAGCACAGACGAGGGTTCGCGCCGCGTTCTGCGCTCGCCTGTCTGAGCATCGTTTGTTCCTGGCTCGTACCGCGAGCTGGAGAGGGGGCGTCCGGGGTGACTCGGTCGTGCCCCTGTGTGACACCCCAGGAAGACCTCTCCAAGAGGACCGGTTTTCAAACAGGTCCCCTCATCGGGGCCAAAGACAGAGTCCACTTTGTCCCCCGCGTCACGGGGGGGCCGAGGGGAGACGGGAAGCGGGGGTGCTGAAGGCAGACTCGGGCGGGTGGGAAAGCGCGCGTGTGTTTGTTTTAAGGTCACACCGCCCGTGTACCTTGCATAATTTAAAAGTTACAAAAAGAACTTCAGGATGAAAAAAGTAACTGTTATTATCCAAAGCCCATCCTGTAAAAAGTAATTATTAAAATAATTTTAAAACAGAAATGAATAAAGATATTGCAGTCTATCGGTTGCAATGGAGAAAAAATTTCCCATTAGTTAAAGATTTCAAATAATGAATAATGCAAAAATGTTAATTTCTCCATCATTCCTTGATTAAGCATAATAAAGCAAGGGCACAAAATCTGTTTTCACAAAACCCATCACTACAGCGAAACCATTTTTCCGGTGCAAGTCCAGCACCCACGGACAGCTCACCGGGCTGGTCCCGTCTTATTTGCAGGCCGTCAGCCCCAGAGTCTAGGAACTAAACGGGAAGCAGGGACCCCAAATCCCCCCACACTGGGCTCCCTCAAAGCGCTATCTCAGCAACCACACAGCAGAGCCCCGCAGCCATGCTCCTCGCCCTGCACTGCCCGGGGGTCCTGGGGCCCCGGGGGCCAGCACAGGGGCTCCCCACTGCCCACAGGACTGTCTCGACACCAATCCATCTAATCTGAAAGTACGGAATGTTCCTCACAGCCTGGCTCTGCGGCACGGGAGGGATGATGAAATCTACAGCGCGAGCACTGCTCAGGGGGGACAAACTTCTCCATAGTCAGATCTAAGAACCAATTTCAAGTGCGTTCTTTAATAAACATGTCACGTCCCACCAGGCACGAGGTGAGGGTGGTGACCCCTGTGACACATCAAACGCAGATGGCAAATCAAAGAGAGAAAGACCGCATAGAACACCTTGGTTTTCCAAGCACAGCGCCCGGACCGTCTTCCCCAGGACTCTGCGCTCCTCCACTCACAAGGTCTCAGTGGTCGCCGAGAACGGGCAACGCGAGAGCAAGACGCGCACACGCAGGGTCCTGCCTGGGCCCTCGGGCCGTGGTCTGGCTGGACCCGGGGACGCCGGCGGAGTCACGGGGCAAACGAGGCCACGCCGAGGACGGGTGTCCGGAGAGCGCGGCGAGGAGGCGGGAAAACTCTCCCGGCGAGGAATTTGCTTGGAAATGCGTCCTCGTCCTCTATTCTAGTCCCGCAGGCTTTTCAGCGAGCGGATCAAAACCCTGTTGCGCGCCAGGAGCGTCCACCGCCGCGCTCTACGCCTCGTCTTCTTAAAATCAAAGACTCAATTCCGAAGGGTTAATAGAGGAATCACAAAGTAACTCCGTTTGCATTTCCCATAATACTAAACAGAGCTTTCTCCTTTAGTCTAGAAATTTGCTTTTTTAATGCCGTGGAAGCCTCCATGAATCTGTTTAGCGTATTTGCCCCTTTTCATCTATTCAGTGCCACCGGGCATGACATGCGAGGCAGACGTGCGGGCCCCCAGCGCGCCCCATGACTCACCGTACCCTAATGCACTCCGCTAATCCTGTTTGGACAGCTGGGCCAGGCATTTGTCAGCTGCATTTTAATTGTTCCATCTTTCTTTTTCTTCTTTTTATTTATCTCTATGGCAAACTACTCAGGAATTTAATTTGTTGATCTTCAAAAAGTAAATTTTGACATTAACTTGTTTTTCTTTGTATTAAAACTATACTCAGCATGTCATTTTCTTCCATAAAACCTGTATCTATTACCATGAAGATGAATCTTAAATAACAGCACAGAGAGCTTTGCAAATGATAAAATGGCCGGGTGGCCGCAAAGCACAGAATTATTACTTGGACTGTCGTAATACTAAGGACAACATTTAGCTACAAATCAGGTCACGGAAGTGCCTGTTTTGGCGTTTTCAAGATTAGCTCACAAGCAGATGTGGGGACAATGGCGAGCCCTGGGGGCCAGCACAAAGGGAGGCCAGGGAGGCCAGGGAGCCCCGGGCGGGGCCACGCCCTGCAGATGCACACTGAGAGCTCACCTGTGACTGGGCCTAGCCAGTCTTTGTCCCTCTGAGACAGCGACAAAGCCCGGCCTGCCCCGCCCCGCCTGCGCCCTGTAGCCCAGCCCTGAGCGAGCCATGGGGCAACGCAAGGCCAGTGAGGCCGTGCCCGTGAGCTGCGGGCCCCGTTCTGGAGTTTTCCATCACTTATGAGTGCTCCTCAGTCAAAACCCGAGTCCGGAGCCACAAGCAGCACTGCCTACTGGGAGTTTCTGCCTGAGGGAAGCTCCAGCCAGGACCTCAGGTGCTGTCTCGGGGGGCCGTGTGAAAGGCCGGAGGCTGGTGGACCTTGAGTTCTGAGCAAACATCTCCGCAAACTGGCCCAGGAAACAATACCAAGGACAAGCGAGTAAAACCCGAACCCTAGAGGTGGCCTTGAAACCTCCTCATTCCATGGACACAAAGTGGCTTAACAGAAGTTTTATGCACTTTCAAGTTTTTAAACCACACAATGAATGACATGTTTTAAAAACATTTCCTATAAGGAAAATTCACTTAATATTTTCTAGACATTAGCATTTTTTTAGAAACCAGTTTCCTCACCCGAAGACTCAAAAGCTTAATTTGTCAGTGGGAAAAAATCCCCTGGTTCAAAAAGGAGTGTTGTTAAGTGTGCAGCCAGCAAGCAGTCCTTACTTGGTGACAGCACTTGCTTTGGGCGAGTCCCACATTAGCCGGCATAGAAATAAAGGGATCAGATATTTCAGAGGCTGATGATTTAGAATTGAGAAGCTGAAAAGGCATCCTGGACGAGCACCGGCCTCACCGGGCCTTCCCGCGGACACTCACCCAGCGTTCTGGACATCACAGGCAGCGCCGAGCTCAGGACCAGGATGGACACGCAGTTCCCGATGATCTGCCGGAAGAGACGGCAAGGGGCGCCGGTCGTCAGCAGGGAGCTGGGCCAGACCGGGCGTGGGGGCCCCCGGGACACCCAGGGTGCTTGCTACCTTCGGAGCAGCACCCCCCAGTTCAGAACTCACGGTCTCCAACTGCCTGACATCGCTGTTAACTTTTGGACAGTACTTGATTCCCCCGACCCCAGGTGCACTCCCCGTAATTCTCCCACCACAATTTGGAATTTATAGTGAATAAAAAACGTTTTCTACAAACACATAAAGTTCTATCTGTAAGGCCTAGGGGACATCTGCAGTGCCTGGCGCAAATATAAAGCTATCAAACGCCAAACATAAAGGCTAAATATAAATATAAATGCTATCAGACAATGCATTGAACAGAGTTGATTGAGGTTACAAATTTCAAAAAGGTTTGTAGAAGGTAAAAAATAGCAAGTGTAATATTTCTGGCTATATTTGAAAAGCTTAAGTCCCTTCCATAATATCAACTTCTCGTAATTGTCATTAAAATAAGATTTAACAGGGCCTCCCCAGTGGCGCAGGCAGTTGAGCGCCGCGCTGTGAAGCTGTCCGCAGCCTCTGCAGCGTGGGTTCGATGCTGGCGGGCTGGCGAGAATCCCACATGGCGCAGCAGACCTCTCCTGCCTCGCCCGCTGCTCCCCTCAGCAGTGGATTTTAGTCAGTCTGCCTGTTCTGCTCCCCACTCTGTCTCTTGTGAGTCCTCTCACCCTCCCACGCATCTGGCCTGTATCCCGGTTCTTGTATAAATAAATCTTAAAAAAAAATAATAAAATAAGATTTAATAACAAAAAGCTAAAATCCAAGACACCCAAACCCTAGTGCCTCATTTTCAATGTCTCCTACACTTATTTATTCTTTCATATCAAACAAGAGCAGCTGGAAATGCTGACTATTACTTAGGGTCCTTACACTAGAAGCCTCAAAAAGACACAGCATCTAGACGGCTACAGATCGATACGCATGGAAATAAGTCCTCTCCCTTTAAAACTGGCGAAAAGTGTGTGTATCCTAGTGAAAATAAAGCAAGCCAGCAGCTTTTACTGTTCCTCAGGGTGGGTCTGTGGGACGACTGTACAAAGATGAAACAGTCCTATACACAGTAACTCCACAAGGTAGCAGCCTTCGTTATTCTGAAGCTGTGACACGTTGTAGAAAGTCAAATTAGACTCAGACTACAAATCATTTCTGAACAGAACTCTTCCGTCTTGCTTTAATTATTCAAACCTGAAACCGTTTGTCTCTCTGCTACTAAGTCCACCAACCCTCCGACAAGCTCCCTCAGCACACGTGGGTCTGCGCTGCGGCTGGGGAGGGGCAGGCCAGGCCCCAGGGGAGGAGACTTTGGAGCTGCCGACTGGCGCTGCAGGGGACACACACATGCACAGACGCCCCCAGGCTCGACACACACATCCTCTCCCCACTCACGCGGCATTCTGAGGACCTTCCAGGCTGTGTTTATGCGACTCACAAAGACCCGTGGGGACTCCGAGCCCCCTGAGGCGCTCAGAGCACAACGGCTGCTTGTCGGGGGCTCACCGGGCCGTGCCCCCCAGGACTTCACCTTACCTTCGTCATGGTGGTATCGTCCTTCTTGGGAATAAAGTCTCCAAAAAATCGGAGGCTATAGAAACCGACGACGGAGGACACCATGAGATAGCTGCAGAGTCAAGGAAGCGGCCTCCGAAGCGCACTCGGTCCCTCGCGTTCCGCCCAAAGGCTTGACAGCCAAAAGGAAAACAGCAAAACAAAAAGCCACTTGCGCACCTGAAGGAGACCGACTTCTCGCTTTTCTTCTAGGCAAGGATCTTAGGAAGTTCCCACCGTCCCAGAAAGCTCGCTCACAGACAGATGTGCAGTTAAAGAAAGGATACAAAATCAAGATGATCTCAAGCGCAGCGCCCACAAAGCCAAAGGCCGAGAGAGAGGCGTGTCCTATTCCAGGCCCCTGGGGGGAAACACACTTTTCAGAATCACTGACACTTATTAATAGCATTCAATTGCCCGTAAGTTGTCATTTCGTACACATAGCACAGCTGAAGTCACGAACACCCAGCCTGGAACAGCACAGACGCGTGGAGGACAATGAGCCGTAGCGTCGCCCACACGGAGCCCATCAACCAACTCAAAACATTTCTGACTTGTTTCAAAATGCAATTTAAGCTACTTATCAAAATGACATGGTCGTGCTTGTTGTTATATCTTAAATAGTCTTTGAAAACACTTTTTTAAATACGCTAGAACAGGACTTGCCTATATCTGAACCCTGAGGCTGCACATGAGAATCACGTGCAGAGCATGTCGAAAGTGAGGCAGGCACAGAAAGTGAATGCACCCGCCCTGTTTCTTCACTTAAAGGTTCCCTTTCCCCAACTCTTTTTGGGAATTCAAAGTTTAAAAGGGTACAGTCTAACACCAAGTTTTGGGGTTTTTTTTTGTTTTTTTGGTTTTTTTTTGTTTTTTTGGATATTTATTAGAAAAGGGACAGAAGAGTAAAAGACACCTGCATAGACACCAGCGGGCAGGACGAGCTGCCTCGAAAGAGACAGGTTTGCTGAGAGAGGCCTGGGTGGCTGCAGGCGGGCGGCCCTCAGGGGAGCAGCCTCCACTAAGGAGGTCAGTGAGGAGAAGCCCCGGCAGGTACAGGGCACGGGCGGGCAGGAGGCTGCTGCCCCGAGAGGGAGACAGTTGGTGAAAAGAGGCACCTGCAGTCACAGGTGGGCCATGGGAGTGCTGCTAACACCAAGTTTTAAAAATTTAATGCTATTATTTTTCCTAAATGTTACACCTAACCTCAAAACCTATCTTTATGTGTAAATTTTATAAAAATACAACTACCCCGGCAGCACGGAAATACAAGGGCTCATATGAAATCACTAAGAACAACTATATGTAATAATTTGATAATCTTGGAAAAGTTGGATACATTTCTTGAATATTATTTACCAAGGCTGAACCAGGAAGAAACAGAAAACTTGATAGGTCACAAATAGGGAAGTTGAAACATCTCCCACAAACAAATGAATTTTATCAAACCTTTACAGAAGAATTTATGCCCACTTTACTCAAATAATTCCAGACAATCTAAGAAGAGGGAATAATAACATTCCATGAAGCCAATATCAGTCTGATACCAAAGACAACACAAAAGGAGAAACTACAGGCCAATATCGCTGATGAACATGATGCTTGTGCTTTGTGTTCCCAGCAAAACACAAGTAAATTGAATCCAAATATAATATAAAGTTCACGCATCATGACCACATAGGATTTCTTGATTCCAGCAATGCAAGGATGGTGTAATGTATACGAATCAATGTGATACATTACATCGACAAAAGAAAGGATAAGAATCATATATCAACAGATGCAGAGAAAGAATTTGATAAGATACAGCATCTGCTTATAATGAAAATTCTTATTAATACGGAACCAGAAGGAACCTACCTTTAACATAATAGAAACCATGTATTACAAACTATAGCCAACATTATACTTCATAGTGGAAAACTGAAAACTTTCTCTTTAAAACCAGGAACAAGGCAAGAATGCCCCTTGTTACCACTTCTGTTTAATGTAGTATTAGAGGTTCTAGCGAAAGCAATCAGACAAGAAGAAGAAATAAACGGAATCCATGTTGGAAAAGAAGCAAAACTGTTCTTTGCAGACAACATGTTGTTAAGTATAGATATTATATGTATAGTATTATATGTAGAAAACCCTAAAGACTGCGCCAAAAAGCTATAAGAAACATTAAGCACAGTACAGTGGCAATCTGCAAAATTGAGATATAAAAAATCGGTTGTGTTTTTATACACAATGAGGGAAAAGAAAAAGAAACTGAAAAATAATTCCATTCACAATTTCATTACCTAGGAGTTAACCTAAGAAAGTGAAGGATTTATACAATGAAAACTATAAGACCCTCTCAAAAGATAGAGAACAAGACGTAGAGAAATGGAAAGACACTCCATGTTCGTAGATAAGGGGAATTAACATAGTCAAAATGACTTTTTACCAAAAGGCATAGCTAGATACAGATTTAAGGCAATTCCCATTAAAATTCTAAGGCTGTTCTTCAGGGAAATTGCAAAAACACTAAGATTTGCATGGCAACATAGAAGGCCCTTCCTGGCGAAAGCCAGCCCAAGAAAAAGAAGAAAAGTGAAGGTCTCGCGATACGTAACTTCCAAACGACACGCCAAAGCCACAACGGGTCAACGGGGCAGAACTGAAGGTCCCGAGATAAACACCCCCGTGCAGCAGTGACCAGTTCACGACTCCGAAGCCACAGCCCTACAAGGGGGAAAGGAGAGTCTCTCTAATAAATGGCGCTAAGAAAACCGGACAGTCACACGGAGAAGGAAGCGACTCGCTCCCACCCCCACGCACACAAACCAAAGGACAGGAACGGAGTAAAGACCGCGCTCTAAGCCCGCGACCACCCCGCGCACAGAAGACAGCGGGTGGCTTGTTTGACGGCATCAGTGACAGAGATGTCTCTGGAGCCGCTGCCCCTACGGTGAGGGAAATAAAAGCAGAAATAAACAACTGGGACTACATCAAATTAAAAAGGTTTACACAGCAGAAGGAAATGTTGGCAGATTGCAAAGCGAGCCCACGCAACGGGAGAAAGGGCACGGGGTGGCGGCCGCAGCGCGCAGGGAACGCACCAGCTCACCCCACAGCTCGGCAGATCTGAAAGAGCCATTTACCCGCGAAGACACGCAGACGGCCAGAGACAGAGGGGAAGCTCCTCATCACGTCCAGCCAGGGAGAGCCGGTCAAGGCGGCCCAGACGCCCTCCCGCACCCGGGGCGTGGACACCCCCAGAGCCTGAGCAAGGGCGGAGCGGCGGCAGAGAGGAGGCCGGCAGCGCGGCCAGCGTGGAAGCGGCTGGACCCACAGGAAGAACTTCGTGGGAAAACCACGGAACCCAGAAGCCCCGCTGCAGGCAGCTAAGCAAGGACTGTCCCGCGCCCCACGGCACTTCTCCCACGCCAGCCGCGTCGGGGGACCGAAAGCAGCCCGTGTCCGCTGACGGGGACAGGCTCCAGAAGACAGGGCGGTCCTCGACATGGAATCCTATTCGGCGGTAAAGAGTGAGGGGAAGGGGCAGGCTGAGCTGGCGGGCAGCCGCGCGCGCCGGGAGGGAGGCAGGGCAACGAGCGTGCGGCCACCGCCCTCACCCGCCGGCCCGCTCTGGCCCCGGAGATGGCGCGAGCTCCCGTCGAGGGGTGGCCGGCAGGTGAGCCGCCCTTCGCGCCTGTCTTCGCAGACGGACAGCGGGGTCGGTGCTGGCGCCGACCCTGACGCTGAGCTTCCGCTGCACAGAGCCCAGGAGGCACGAGGGGGCGAGCGAGCAGATCAGACACCACCAGGAGTGAGGAGCCCCACCCCCCGCCGGGCTCCTCCAGAAGGTCCCTGCCCACCCCCAGGGGACCTCACCAAGTCTGCCCTGCCACCCTCCACCGATGAGACTCGACTCTCGCTCTCCGAGGAGTCCTGCTTCCCGAGGCTGACCCGGGCCCCCGCCGTGCAGCGGGCAGGCCGGAGTCCTGGGCTGCTCCCCCCGGCCAGCTGCGGGTCCGCACGCGCGTGCGTGCTCGGTGACACAGCCTCCGAGAGTCTGGGGGTCTCGGGGGGACAGGGCCGCGGGGCAGGGAGCGGGCCAGACCGGCTGCGCCCGCTGAGACACGCCAGGCTTTCTGAGAGGAGGCCGCGGAAGAAGAGCTGGGGAGTCTCTTCCACAGGAAAGCTGCTGACCCGGGCGAGGGGAGGCAGGGTCCGAATTCCGCCGCCACCTGCGCTCGCATCACCTGGGAGGGAGGCCCGAGCGCGCCGCGGGCCATGCCCTTCCGTGTGGAGAACGACTCCGACCGGCTGGTAGACAGCAGGCAGCGAAGTCGTCCTTTTGCAGACGGAGGACGGAGGCTCTGGGCGGGACAACCCGGCGGGGGCGCCCTCTGGGGCCCGGCGAGCAAGGGCCCCGCGCGCTTCCCTCAAGCACACAAATGCGACCCTCGGCCCGTCGGAGCAGGGGCCGCGGCAGAACCTGGGTCCCACCCTCCACCCCGCCGCCGCTGCCCACACGGGCCCCACCCGCCGACCGAGGCGCCGGCGCGAGCCCGGACGCACGACTTACCCGCGAGCCCTGCGGCATGGCGGTCTCGTCCACCAGCAGGCAGAGGACGTTGCAGGCCACCAGGAGGACCGACATGGCCTGCGACACAAGCAAGCGCGTCAGTGCCGGGGCGAGGCCGGCGGTCGGCGTTCCCACTGTCAGCCCGCCGTGCCCCTCGGGGCAGCGCCGGGCCGGAGACCCCGACTCTGCGTCTGACCCAGAGCGGCCAGACTGTCCACGGACACAGCGGAGTAAGTTCTAAAAGATCCCACGAGCCATCGTGACGGCACAGCCCGAGACAAAATGAACTACACAGCCCAGCGCCGGACCGGCCGCCGGGTGGACACTGGCCCGGCCCAAGCGCGGTCAGGACCCCGCGGAGCCGCGCCCTGGCCCCAGCCAGCGAGCCGGCGACCCCTGCTCCAGGGAAAAGGGGCACAGGCCCTCCCCGCAGCCCTGCTCTGGGGGCTCCACCAAGGGGGCGGCTGGGCTCGGGCCCTGCTGGCAGGAGCCACCGGCACAGACGAGGCGCCGTGCTGCACGGGGAGGCGAGGGCCCTCACCGTCTCGAAGAGCAGCAGCACCATGACGGCCGGGTACACCAAGTTCCTCTCCCAGGCCGACGCCTTCCTCCGCCTCTCTGTCAGGAGGAAAACGGGGTTCAAGAGATTTCGGTCGTTTCAACAGCCCTCTCCAGATCCAGTTGCACTCCTTGCTGCTACAGCTGGTACCTGTTGTTTTACGTCAGTGCTTGTCTTGAGAAACACAAATTATTTTTCATTTTTCTGCACGAACTACGAAAATTGGTTTGCCACATCAAACAGCTGGATCCTGTAATCCTGACATGTTAACTCTGTAAAGAGGTTCAGACTGTTGGGCCTCCTCTCCTGCTGTGAAGCTGTCGCAGCCACTGTGGCCTGAGGGCGACCCCTGGCCAGGGAGCTACCCACAGCGCACAGCAGACCTCTCCAGCTTCCCCGCTGCTCCCTCAGGGGTGTGTTTCAGTGGATCCGCCTGTTCTGCTCCCCACTCTGTCTCTGGAGAGTCCTCTCAGCCCACACCTCTGGCCTGTACCCCCGTTCTTCTACACAAAATAAAAAATGGTTTAAAAGAGAGAGAGATTTGAATTGTTAATGAAATATTCTGCTAAAAAATTGCATATTCTGAAAACAAGGAAGTATATCTGTCCTGGACCTGGACCCGCACGCCCGGAGAGACTGCTCCAGCTTTCCAGGGGCCGGAGGAGAGCTCCACCTCGTGGGGCACCACCCCCACCTGAGCAAGCAGGAAAGAAGAAGAGGGTGCTGGGGCCCCTGGACTGCCTACCGGGACCTGCATCCTGGGGGCGGGGGGGCGCTTCCTAGCTCTCCGCCCTGCCGGGACTGGGAGGTCAAGCAGAAGCGGTGGCCAGACGGCAGGGTCTGGCTATCTCCCCTGACTCTCTCCATTCAGGGTCTCCCCTCCTGCCCCGTCCAGGTCGCAGCAAATGGCCAGAGGCCGCCTTCTCTGATCACTGAGAATTATTCCCGCAACCGGAGTGTGTGCACGCTCATGTGTGTGCGTGTGTGTGAGCATGGGGGAGTGTGTGGCACATGTGTGCACATGTCTGTGCGTATGTGCATGTTTGTGTGTGCATTTTGGTGTGCATGTGCACATGTGCATATTTTGTGTGTGCATGTACGTGCATGTGTGCGCACTTGTATGTGTATGTATGTGCATTGTGAGTGTGTGCACGCGTATGGGTGCACGTGTGTGTGCACGAGTGTGCATTGTGCATATGTGTGTGCTTGTATGTGCGCTCATGTGTGCGAGTGTGTGCGTGCACATGCACAGCACACTCTCTGCTCCACTTCCTGTGCGAGGCCCATGGGCTGCTCCCGGATCAGCCCCAGGGACCAGCGAGCGGGCGGGAGTCGACACCCCTCCAGTCCTAGCCATGCGGGGGAGGCTGGCACGGAGCTGCTGGGGCGGGAGGTCTGCCCAGCTCCACAGCCACCCAGAACACAGAGGAACATAAACGTAGCCAGGGCAGCCCAACCCCACCAACGTAGCTCCCAGGCCTGACTGCAGAGGGGAGGCGCGGAGGGGGAGGGGTCCAGTGAGCCTGGTGGTGCGTGGGGTGGAAACAGACACCTGTAGTGTTGAAACCTCTAGCCCCCCAAGCAGAAACAGGTGAGCCTGCTGTACCTCAGGAAACAGAGCGGGGGTGGGGGAATGTGGCCCAAAGCAAAGTTTTCAGCCAGCTCCACAAAGCCCCGGAGACCGACACTGGAGCTGGGCCCAGGGCAGCAGCCGTGAGAGGCCCGGCCGCAGACATCAGGGAGGCGAGCACCAGCATCATAGGGCAGCAGAGGCACCTACCCAGTTTGGCCTTCAGAGTCTTCACATTTTGCAGCTCTTGCTCCAGGTCCAGCAGGTCGCACTCCACAGATGGGGACAGGCCTGCAGGGAGTGAGGGCACTTTAGGAGGGGCCCCCGCGCCTGCAGGGCCGCACCCCACAGGGCCTCCTCCTCCCCACCGCTGGGGGGCGCACAGCCAGGGGTCACTGAGGGCGCCATTTCACCCGCCCTCCCACTCTCGCTGGCTGATCGCATCCCTAGAAAACATCCCACTTGATCAAACCCTTTGGTGTCATTGTCGTCTGTCTGTCACGGGGCGCCGCATGTTGAGCCCAGGGCCCACCCCGCCTGCGGCTGCCGTCCCCTCACACTTCTGCCAGGCTCACGCGGGAGGCCCTGTGGCTGCCACAGTACGCATTACAGGAACGCATTACAGGTGCGTCTTTAAGGCTCACCTCCCGGCCCGGGTGCCCTCGCTGAAGTCTGGAGGCTGGCGAGTACTTTAATTCACAATTACCCCCCTGCTGAGCACTCCGGCCCGCGACCTCTGCATGACTGCACTGCAGTGCACGCCGTAGCTCCCGGTGCGCGAACGCCTGTATGCCGGGTACGGCTGGGGGCGCCCGGGTGGGGCATGCTGGGCCGGAGACACTCTCCCCCGGAGTCTGCAGTTCACTGCAATAGCCACGAGCACCGTGTCACTTGCTTTCCCACCACTCGCTGTGGGAGGCGCCTACTTTGCAGTATCTTCCCTGGCACCGGACACAGTGAACTCTGGACACCTGCGGAGCCAGCAGGGAAGCCCTCGGAACCCACTGTCGGGCCACTTGCATTTCCCTGAGGATGCTGCCCCCAAATCAGGCCCTGCACCGTGACCTGCCACCCTCTCCACCGCCGGGGCTTCTCAACGTAAAGTCTGTCGTGGCCCTGCCTTACTGACGTAAAGAGAGGAAGGAGGATTGAAAGCGGACAGGACAGGCGGACAAGACATGCGCGCCCTATCCGTGGTGGCCTTTATTGACTGGAGCGCGCCGGCCACAAGCCGCGAAACTGGGTCTGAGTGGTTAAGACAGAAAAGGCGCCCAGGGGGTAGAAGGAACCGGCGGGAAAACCTTACAGCACAGAGAGGAGCGGGACCCAGGGCCACCAGGGACCGCGGGACGCAGGGGTGCACGGCGGCTCTCGGGCGCCACGTTGCTCTCACGGAGCACAATTGTCCAGGGCCAGTGCACTATCCCCGCCGCCCGCGGGCCTGACTGGACGGGGCACTGCCAAGACGCGCAGGCGCCTTCTGGAAGAAGGGCAGGGGCCCGAGCAGAAATGGTGGGTGCCGGCTGACCACCCCACCCGACCGGCTGCTGGGCCCACTGGCACTTCCAAGTGCAGCAGCTGTGCCTGCTGGGCGTGGCTAGGGGGCCGACAAAGTGCCAAGCCCTGGCCACTGCTCCCACACCGCCCCTCCGCCCCACCCCCAGCCGCCTGCAGCCGCTGGGCTGACTTGACTGCTCCAGCATTTCTCCTCCCGTCACTGGACGAGGCTTCCCGGCCGCGGCTTCATCTTCCAGCTGTCGGGCTCAACCACCACTTCTCACGTAGCCGCGGAGCTGGGCCGCCTCGCGCCCCCCGCCCCTGCCGGCCACTGGTAACCGGACAGCGCTGCGTCCACGCCAGCACAGCGGAGCACACCGGAGCACACCGGCTCCCAGGGCCGCTGCCCCCCCGGACACACGGTGCCCGCCCGCGTGGCCTCCCTCGCACGCTGGCTCACAGACACGCTCCTCACCCGCTCAGCCGGGCTGGCCACCGGAGACCCGCGTGCTCTCTTGGCTTCCAAGCTCCTGACCACCCCGGAGTCCTGGGACTCTCAGCCTTCCCCGTCTCGGCGCTGGATTCCCTCTGCTCGCTAGACAGGCCGCAGCGTGGGCCCTGGCCCGTCCACCAGTGCAGCCTCGCCTGTCCGCAGTGTCACCCATGCGCCATGTGTGCCCTACCCCCCATGCGGGAGGCTCCTGAGCCGGGCTATCTGCTCCATCTAAGCCAGAGCCACCGAGGGCGCCGACTGGAGAGCCGGGGCTATGCAGGCTGTCCATGGAGGACACCGCACTGCTGGCCCTGCAGGGCTCCCTCCCGCCAGATGCCCCAGGAGACCCACTCTCTGTCCTGGTGGGAGAGCCTGGCTGCTCCCGCGCCAGGAGGCTGGGCCTGCGCCTTTAGTCTAGAAGCAGCCACCCCGCGCCCAGCTCAAGGGCATGCTCCCACCCGGCGGGGAGCAGCCTGCACCTGAGGGTGGGAGCATGCGCTCAGCTCCCGCCCGAGACAGGCCTCCAGCAGCCCGGCGGGCCGCCCACCTCAGCTCCGCTCCCGGGGCTCCCAGGGGCGCTGCTCCGAGTGGGACTCCAAGCCACAGAGCCAACCCAGGCAGCCCAGCTCCTGCCCTCGGGCTGCCAGCCGGCAGACTCCGACCGCTCTCTCGGGTTTGCCAAGCTGCAGAATTTTATTATGGTTTTCTCTTCTTTTAGGGTTATGACTCGCTGAGCCTCAGAGGTGCTGTCTGCGAACCAGGAAACGCAAACCTGCCTGCAAGGCAAGGAGAGGGCTGCTTGCCATGAGCGCTTCGCATGGCAGGTGCCGGCGTGTGCCTTTCCGTGGCCAAACCCGGGCCCTGGGCCAGACCTGCCGCCCACAGCTGGCCCGCGAGGTGGGTGCCCTCCCTTTCGCGGGAGCCTTCGTGGACTTATTCTGCCGTCACATCTCCCCTGTCATGGGATTTCTGCTCATCCCCCCACCCCAACATAACACCAGCGGCCCTTCTGAGACGCAGCGCTTGTTCGCAGACGCACGCGGGCGCGCAGGCACTCCACCACGCTGACTGCCAAGCCAGCTCCCCCAGAGCAGGCCGCCAGCGCCCCCTGACGGCAGAGGCGCCATCCTCGGGAGAGCCCCTGCCGGGGCAGGCACCCCTGGGGGCGGGCGACGGCCACATGGGCCTCACCTGGCCGCAGCCGCACCCCACAACTGAGCTGCGTGGCTCGGCGGGGTTTCCAGGTGAATGTGAAAGGCCCGTGGCAGCGCTGTCTAGTCACTAAGCCACGCCGGTAGACAAGGCCTGTTCAGACTAGTCAGGGAAAATAAAAGGGGATTCTCCAAGAAAACCACAAAGCAGCTCATTTAAGGTCAATTTAACGGTATTATTCTGTTTTTCTTCCAGCTTCGACACAAGATTTCACTACCTCAAAGGAAATTGTAAGAGTATCTATTTGCATTCCCCCAGGTGATTGGCAGTTCAACACCAATTAGTTCAAAATTACACTGTTACTAGCATGCAATAAAAACAACACCTTTCATCTTTCTCACACAGGTAAGAATACCGTCAGAGCCAATAACTTTGATCAAGTAAGTATTTTTGATCCTGCCCCACCCGTCTCTTTGGATTCAGGAAAACTAACAGCTGAAGGCAACTTTTCCCAGCTTTATTCTTGAGCTGAAAAACGAGCGCGCACTGAAGATAATTTGCTTCCAAGATGACAGCGTCTCCCGAAGTCCAGCGTTTCTTCAGTAACTAAGCCGTCTCCAACCTAAGGCGGCCTTCCTTGGCATGCCCGCGCCAAAGGGCAGCTACTAATTAACTGAAAATAGACGATGCTGTGTTTTTTAAAACAAATCTAAGTGCCCCACATGGTGTGTGAGAGACGCAATCACACGACGACGTGGAGCAGCACGACGGCTGGCCGCCCGCCTCGCCCTCTCCCAGCCTCGAGGGGCCACGAGCATGGACACGCGGCGTGAGCGGGTTACTTCTCATCCAGCTGTCGCAGCCAGCACGCAACCGGACAGGTGATGGGGAAGCCTGTTATCTAAGCAACGCAAATGTCGGTGACTTTATATTGACCAGAGCGACTGCTGCTGCGGGCGGTGATGTGATTTCAATCATGTCTAATCACTGAGGCAGGCAGTTTCGTTGTTTAAAGTCTGAGATGCTTAATAATTTGTAGGGCCAACAGGCCCCAGTCGCCAAGCAAACATCAAAGCTGCACCCCAGAGTGGTGGCTGGCCACAGGCCCCGAGGCGGCACTGCCCGGACCCCCTCCTGGCACGGATTCCCATGGCTCCCGGCCTGCCCCCGGGAGATGGCAGCCAGCACCTGAAACTCCATCCCTACCCTAACACCTATTTAAAATCAGGGTCTCTTTCCTCTTGACACAGCCACGAAGAACCTGGCTAACACAGGCCTACGGAGGGGGACTTTGAAATATCAACACGATTTTGAAACTGCAAAAGCACCTTCGCTAGCAGTGACCACAAGCACGGCAGGCCACCTCAAGTAACCACCTCCAGGGACATCAGGCACGCCGCACGGCCAGAGGGCTGGTTTGTCGTTTTCCTACTTTGGACAGAAGCCATGACCGGACAGCTGCGCTGGATGTTAAGACTGTGTTTTCCTTCCACTTACACGCGCTGCTGCTGGGAAGGGCCCCCCCCAAACAGCTCGTGGGGGGAAGTAGCTTGTGCGTGTTAGATCCACTTCTGCGGACAAACTTGGGTCACTGGTGCAAGAAAAATCTCTCCTGTGATTTTCAGAAAATAGTCTATACTCGACCCAAATTATCCCCAAGTCCGTCCTCCCAAAGCATCCATCCCCTGCGGGCACTCCCGCCCAGCTCGCTGCTGCCCACGCCTAGTCTCGAGGCGTGCGCTGCGCGGCGACCACGCGCGCACGGGCTGCAGGGCCAGCGCCCCCTCCACGCACGGGCGCGTCCCGGCCTCAGCGCTGGGGCTCACCTTTCCCCTGGCCGGCCAAGGCGGCCCCCCCGCCAGGGCCGACGCCGCGCCGCGCTTGGCCCCACGTCTGCGCCGACACCAACACCGACACGCCTGCGGATCACGGGCCTCACGCGGCGGCCGAGGCAACGGGAGACCCAGGCGCAGAGAGCCGGGCGGGGCGCGGGGTGGGGGTGGAGGGAGGACGGGCGTGGGCGCGCAGGGTCGCTGGTGGTGCCCCCCCACCCCGCGGGTAGGGGTGCCTTTCCCGGCTGCAGCGCCCCAGGGCGGCGAGAAGAGGGCGCGCACCCGTGTGCCCCCGAGCGCCAGCGGCAGAGGCTTCACAGAAGATGAGCATCAAGCAGGGACGTGACTGCCGCGAAAGGGGATCCACCTTCTCTCCCGAAGACGAAATCGTACCCAGCGAAACCGAATCGAACCATTAAGTTCAAAGGCTACAATATCTTAAAATAAATTACATTAAAAGAACTGTGAAGGTTTTGAACTTAAACAACAAAATATAATTCCTGTTCATTATGGCACTTCTGAAGCCATTACCCAGCACGCCGTGGGCTGTGCACACACAAAAGCTAATTATTTCAATTAATGCTGCCGCATTACTTAGACATTAAACATGCTAATGAGGCCCGCATCCCCTTCACCCTGGAAGGCGCTGCGAGGAGGCGCTCTGCACCATCACCGCGATGGGGCTTTCTGTGGGCCCCTCTCCAGGCCCGGGCGGGGCTGTGTCCTGAGGCGACGCCCGCGGCTAACCCCGGGAGCCCCTGATTTCTGCCTCCTCACCCGCTGGCAGCATGCCCGCTCCCCCGCCCGGCCTGGCTTGTCTTCACAGGCCTCCGCCGCGGGTCCCCCAATGACCCTCTCCACGCGACGCCTTCATCCTGTCCTCTCCTTCCTCTCACTTCCAGGGCGGGTAACAACTGTCCTGCCGACCTAGTTCTCGTGCTCACCCACTCACGCCGCACATGCCCACTCCAGGCCACTCACCGCGTGCCATGCAGTCAGGGGCACGGGGGCGGCGCTAGCAAGCTCTGCCCTGGGGCGCAGGCTGGAGTGTGGAGGCGCGGGCGGCATAAGAGGCCGCAGAGTCCTGCAGAGAAGCAAGGGAAGGCCCAGCTGAGGGGCCGGGGACAGGAGGCAGCACCAATGCCCTGAGGCCGGGGGAGGGTCAGAGGGGTGCACGGGGGTTCAGGGGATGACCCCAGAGGACCCGGCTTTGATTCATGCCTATGGGAATGCCTGGACCCCGGGCCAGCAGGCAAGGGAGCCAAGCTCTCTGCCTTCAGGGCGGGTGACGCGGGCGGGAAGCTCCTGTGTGGTCCACGAGGTCTGGCCCGGCCAGGCTGTGGCAGCGCACGGGACCCTCGAACCCAGAGCCACAAGCTCTGCCAGGGACCCCAGGGAAATGCAAGAAAGAGGCTCCTAGGAGCGGCCTGAGCACCTGACGGGCCGTCACCCCGGCAGCGAAGGGCTGGACCGGAACCGGGGCCAGGGTGTCGTGCTGGTTTGGGCCCTGACGGTGGGGCCCCGACCAGCACCTTCCCGGCTGTCTCCACAGACCCGCGGCGGGCGTCAGAGGACGGGGCAGCAGTGTGCAGAGGGCGCTTTAAGCAGGGACCAGGCGAGACCAGCCAAGGCGGCTTAGACAGGGGCGTGCGGCCTGAGAGCGGGTCCAGACCCGCAGCAGCGCAGGCCGGGAAGGAGCCACGCGCTAAGTCAACGACAGGGAACGCGTGGCGTCTGTGGCCCAGGAGCAGCGCCAGCAGGCGGGAGCACCAGGAGGCCCTTGGGCCCTGGCCGCGTCACAGAGCCTCTCGGCCGGGGGCGGAGCTCGGACCAAACCAGAAGCACCAAAGGTCCAGTGGGCGCGGGCCAAGAGCTCCGAGTGTCCAGGTACAACACTGCTGGCTGGAAAGCACCAGAACCAACTGAGTTCCCGGCCAAGGCAGGCCCTGAGAGCTGCAGCACCCTGGTGCCGCGGGAGCGACCAGCAGGGGCGAGCAGGCACCTTGGTCAGAGCAGACAGGACACCATGGGGGCGGGGGAGACACCCTTGGCAGTTAGGTGGCCACGAGAGGAGGACCCACCGGGATCGTGGCTTCCCCAAGGAACGGGCTAGGGCGGGGGACGGCTGCCAGCGGGGATGAGCCCTGCCGCGAATGTGGGCCGAGGCGCTGGCACTTGGGAGCCGAGTAGCTGAGCTGCAGCACGGGGGTGGGGGGCCACGGGCGGCCATTGGGGCGGCCGAGCATCCAGGGCACCGCGGCCGAGCAGGCTCACCAGGGGGAGCTCACCCCACCACGCGGCACTGAGGCACCACAGGTGGGGCCAGGGCAGTCAGAGGTCTCTGAGAGACGCAAAGGACAGAGCTGTGACAGGAGGGTGCAGGGAGAACACGACGCCACACGGGAGTGGGGGGGGTACGGTGGCAGGGGTGCATGCAGGGGACAGCCACCACCCGGGCATGAGGAGAAGGGAAGAAGAGAGGCCCTGAGGGGCGAGCGCTCAATGCCCGAGGAGACGGGGAGCTTTAGGGGCGCAAAGGCAGTGGGAGAGCAAGGCAGAGATGAGCCTCTGGGGCCTTGGGGGCCTGAACGCCCAGCTCGTGCTCCTGCACCACAGGAAAGGGCCACACCGCTGGCCACCGAGGGCAGGACACCACAAGGTACACAGTAGGGCTGTGCTCTGGGGGAGCCCCCCACCCCGACCTCCGCAGGACAGGTGCACGGTGGGTGGAGCTCTGGGGCGCCTGCCTGCTCCGGGGGCCCCTGCAGCTGCCTCCCCATGGCATCTCAGCTGCCGGCCTCTCCACACTGGGCGAAACCTTCCTCACCTCGTCCTCCTGCCGCTCTGCCCTCACCGAGGCGGCGGGACCCACCCAGCACAGGCCAGCAGCTCGCCCTGAGCCCGTCAGCCCGTGCGGTGGGCCTCTCTGCTGCCACCCCCAGCTCTAACGACACAGCCTCAAAAATGTTAGCGCTCACTTACTTTAAAATACAAGCCAGCTCTTAAGCCAAACACACCTGACATCCACGAGACCGGCCAGGAGCAGGGCTGACGTCATCGCCTCCTCTGTGGTCAGGGCGAGTCCAAAGGCCGCCCCTGCTGTGCCCTCTACCCTCCACCCCCAGTGCCCACGCATACTGAGTAAAAAGCCCCGAGCCACGGGCCACGCGGGCCACAGGCCACACCGCAGCTGACAGCAACATGAGAGTCCTCGCCCCCAGCCCCGGAGACCGCGGCCCGCACCTCCCTCCCCTGCACGGGCGCTGGGCGGCCGCTGGGCGGCTTCAGCTCAGGACAGGCCTGGCCTCCAGCAGCGTTCCCTGGTCCGTTTCCTAGACACAATGAATCATTTTCGGATTTGAGGAGACGGACAATCTGGAAAGTCCGGGAGGGAACGTTTTTGATACTGCGGACGGGGAAACTGAGAAGCATCTGTGTTTTGGTTGTTCTGAACTCTGCGTTCTGGGCTGCACGGAGCACCACGGGGCCCCCTTCCTGCACCCTAGGCCCCGGCCCCGCCCCTCCCTCCCTCCGTCCCCCTCCCTTCCCCACTCCCCAGCCATCTCCCCTCCCCTCCATCCCCCCCCTGCTCTCCGGTCTGTAAGGCGGAGGCGCCGGGCCTCAGGCCGCACCAGCCCACACGCAGGCAGCAGCTCGCCGGCCAGGCTCCACCACCTAGAGCCCTAAGTCACGATCACCCGAATAAGACAGATGCTGGACTGTTTACTACTTTAATTAAACTGCATAAAGCTGACTACCGATCAAAGCTATAATCCTGAAATTACACAGGCTCAAGCGTGCGTGTTGTTTCACAAAGTCAGAGACCAAAGGTCCAGTGGGCGCGGGCCAAGAGCTCCGAGTGTCCAGGTACAACACTGCTGGCTGGAAAGCACCAGAACCAACTGAGTTCCCGGCCAAGGCAGGCCCTGAGAGCTGCAGCACGTGTGGTTTGAGGATGCAGGCGGCGCGGGGAAGTGAGAAAGCACGCCAGGGTCTGCAGGCCAGCGTCCGGGTGCCAGCGTCTGGGGCGCGGCACCTGCTCAGCATGTCCGCACTGGGCCCTGCAGGCGTCTGCTCTCGCCGGGCCCCCAGCAGCTTGAGCACAGCCATGCCGGCGCCGACACCGCATCGCGCCCCGACACGCGGGAGCACTGCCCGCTACCCCAAACACACCCTCTGCAGAGGAGCATGACCCCTGACGTGGGCGCCCCTCCCTGGCCGGAGCCAACCTCAGACACATGCGGGCCCAGGATGCTCCCCATTTCTCTGTCACCCATACCTGCACAACCTCCATGTTCCCCTGCCCCCCAGCGCGATGCTGAGACACAGCCGTCGCTAGCCAGCGCGAGGGCGGAGCCACAGAAGCAGAATCCAGAGGAAACATACCCAAACTGCGCCACTTCTCTGTTAAACTACATGGGTTCTTTATTTGAACCCGAAAATGATCAGTAATTTGAAATCAAACCTGAGGGTCGCCCCCGCCCACCTGGCCACGCCCACAGGCCTCGAGAACACTGACCGTCCAACACAGGAGCCTGCTCCCCGGCGCCCACGCCGGGCACCAGTTCTCACCTCCAGCTGAAGGGTTCCACTGGAGGGAAACGTGGTGCCATCATGGTCATGGGGCTGACGTGCACGTCTGCAGCTCGCAACCGAGGACCACAGCCCGGGACGCGGAGGCAGTGGGGGACAGTTTTGGGGGGACCAGGAGCTGCCCGCCTCAGGCACACTCCCACTCACAGGGCAGCCACATGCCGTGCCACAGTCAGCAACAGGGTCCAAGAAGTCTTGTTTTCTCATGTCACCTTTTCTTGAGTTGCTCATTTTCACAGTGGCCCGAACCTGTGGCTTACACATACCGTTGAGCCGCCGCTGCAGCGCTTCTTCCTCGAGGGTGATCATATACATCTGCTCGTCCAGATCTTCAAGAATCTAAGCAAAAGATCAAATGCTAAATGAAGCAACTCGCAAAACTAGCGCTTCTGAGAATATGCAGACTACCCGGCCACCAGCAATCTCAACAAAAGCCCTCGAGCGAGCCCACTCACAAGCTGGTAGGACTGTCTCAGTGAATGAGAGCAGTCGCTCCTGGCCATTTCCAGCCGGCATTCTTTACGGTTACAGGATCAGGCTGCTCTAAAGCACTCCGATGGGCCCACAAATGCGGCCCCTGCGCGCCCACATCCAGCACCGGTCCCTGCGCCACACCAAATTTCGGGGCTGCACAGAGCAGCTCGCCCTGCCCCACACTTGTTCCTCGTCGGCGTTGGCTTGCATGATGTTCAAAGCAGGAGCCGGAGAACAGAGCCAACAGGTGACACTCAGTGCACGTCACCTTCACATCCCAGAACTTCTCCACAAACGTGAGCTGGAGACCCAGTGCTCACACTCGCCACCCTCCGCCACGCCACGCCAGCCATGCCAGCACAAAACAGCCACCACAAGCCAAGACTCAGTCACAGCCAGGTGGGCTGCTACCCGCACAGCCTCCAAACTGACAACACCTGAGCTGTGTTTGATTCTGCCTTGTTGCTAAGGCTGTCCTTATCGAGAAGACTAAGCATCCTCCTAGTTCCGGGGGAAATCTGGCAGAAGACCAGGGCTGGATGTTCTGCGTCATCCTGCCAAAGTGCTGGTCCCCACTAAACTACGCGTCGCGGGGCGCTGACGGGCAAACCCGGGGTCGGGAGCCCTGCGCCTCCAACTCCTCAGGACCGGACGCGGTGTTTTCAGAAAAGGGGAGCTCGAACCACGCCACTGCCATCCAGCATCAAATTTGAAGACTTTTAATAAAATTTATTTTAAGCAATCCAGTAACTCCCAGTAATTCAAGAAATACCGACAATCTCCCGGGGCCTGTGGCCGGTAGCAGGAGGGGGGGAACCAGTAATCACGCACAAACCAGGATGGCGACAGATGTCCGTGCCGCGAGTGGGGGGAGGGGCCGGTTGGGAGCGTGGGCAGATGGGGGGGGCAGGGCGGGTGAGGTCATGGTGCAGGGCGAAGGCGACGAGTGTGTGGGCGCAGGCCCAGGCGTGCGCGTCCACGCAGCCCAGGGAAGTCCAGCCTGACTTTTAAACAGAGACGTGACGAGACCCGTTCATAAACAGAAACAACGCTAGGCCGCGCGGCTGACGACCTCCCCGGTGGTCCTTCCTTGGTCAGCCGCCCGCAGGAAGACACGGCGTCTCACGGGCAGCTGGCGGGGCAGAGAGGGCCGCGGGGCAGCGCGGGGGGGGCGAGATCGCTCTGGCGGGGAGGAGTCAGCCGGCCCCACTGGCCGCAGGGGCTAGAGGGGCCTGGGGCGGAGCAGTCAGGGCCGGGAGCCGGTGGGAGCTAGAAAGGGCCTGGCAGGGGCGTCCGCACCCGCCATGGGCAACAAGGTGGAAGTGCTGCCAGGGCCGGCGCCCTACAGTGGCTCGGAGCCGCCTCCCGTCACTAGAGCTGGCGGCCAGAGAAACTGAGGACAGAGAGCTCGCGTCGCTGCCTCTAAGAGGCCACACGGTATCTGTGGGCGCGGGGGCAAGCAAGTGCACGCGTGCAGGTGAGACTTGCAGGCGGCGTCCAGACAGCGCCTCGCAGTCAGGCTGGATGCGCTGACCGAGGTCAGTCCAGTGACTGCCCCAGCCAAGGGCAGACACCGTGCGTGAAGGGCTCACAAACCGTCTTCATGTTTGCTGGGAGGTTTCAACCTCAGTGCCTGGAGTTAGTATTTCAAAAGCAACAACAATTTTGGTTTCAAAGCTGGAGAAGAGTAAATTAAAAACAGTTGGGCTCGGTCAGAAACCCAAGGCTTCTAGTGCCTCGGACGCGGCACGCCCCAGATGCGACCCCCGGCCCCCGGCCCCCGGTCCGGGCACACTTACCGCCGGCTTCCCCAGCAGTTGGCCCATCACTGTGAACATGCGCGAGAGGCCGACCGGGGTGCACACTGCAGGCAGACAGAGAGGTCAGTGTGGGCAGCCTGCACCCCAGGGAAGCTGCCCCCTTGGACAGGCCGTGTGACCAGGCCCTCCCGCCCCCGCGGTCAGGCCATGCGCTCTTGGGGATAGCGTGCAGTGGGGTGGGAGCTCGTGGCATCCCTGCAGCCACATGGGAGCACCAGCTGCTCTGAGGTCCCCACTATCAGAATGTACCTTGTACTTGAGAGAACATAGGGACCGGCTTCCAAAATGCCCCATGCTGGCCAGGGATCTCATCAGGACCCCCCCCCCAACTTTCCGAAACCCGGAACTCTGCTCCCCACCAATACTGAATCAGAAAAATACTCACGGAGGAGCAGCAGGCACCCCATCAGTGAGACGCAGGAGTACAAGTAGGGCAGGTAGAACTCCCACAGATCTGCAAGTCACGGGCACGTCTGAGCGGCCAAGCAATTGGGGGGGGGGGGGGGGACTGGAGCCCACAGGCCCCGCCCACAGGTCCTGCCCACAGATCTGCAAAGCTCGGGCACCGCTGGACGGCCGAGCACGGGGTCCAGGCCCATAGGCCCAGCCACAGGCCCCGCACCCAGCCGAGTACATGCAACCACCTGCTTCCTGACAGCCCCTCAGAAAGATCTAAAGCGGAAGAAAAGGATGTAACCTTTTCAAAACCCGCTTGGAGGGAGCGAGACGCCTCCCTGGGATTTTAAGAACAGAAGCCAGTCAACCCTGGGCGGCTGCCTGCTCCCTGCGCACCAAGCCCTGGGCCCGTGTCCGCACGGTACCGTAGAGGGACTCCATGCTGGCGGCGTCGCTGCCCAGGAGCGCCGAGGCCACCCACACCATGCCCAGGATGAGCAGAGCCAGCAGCAGCAGCATGACCAGCGTCTCGAGGACCCGGGCGCGGATTCCCTGGAAAACAGAGCAGAGGCGGCATCTGAAGTCCCATCTCAAGAGCAGTCAGGTCTCTGCCTACACGACAGCGTGAGATGATCCTTCTCAAGGAGAGGAGACTTCATTGGCAGGGAAAACAGACCACCGTGCGCTTGCGATTTGCAGCACTCAGACTGACTTGACTTTGCAGAACTATGGAAAATGACATTAATCCTTGAAGCAAGCAGCCAAAGAACTCCTGGTAGGAACATTCGGAACAGTCACTCACCTTCCCAGCATGACCCGCCCACGGGGAAAGCAGGCCAGCCGGTGGGCCTCAGAGGCCTGACGCAGCGAGCACCTGGAGGCCTGGTCCCAGCCCCGCCCCGGCAGCCTGGCCCAGGCCTGGGGGAGGCGCCCTGACCAGCGACCAATCCCCCACACAGAGGGTTTCACTAGCCCTGCTGGAGGCCGGGTCGTGCAGGGCGCGATGCCCACTTCTTAAGACGTAAAACAAGTTCTGACCTCAGGCCCGACACAGGCCAATCTTTTAGGCTTGAAGACTACTGGACAAACCAAAAAGAAAATTTCCTTCTACTCCTGAAAAAGCACCTCGTGACCTGACATTACCCACACCACAGGCTGACGTGGCGTCATACGGGAGTGTGCGGACCTGCGCCTGACCCCGCCCTGGCGTGCCCCTGCGTTTCTCAATAAAGCGTCCGCTAGGCTGAGACAGTTCAAAGGCCGTTACCCATGAAGACTCTAAACGCGCCCGCCTCAGCTCTGCCCGAGACAGCCCCCACATCTGCGAGAACGGGGCAAGCTGCGCCTGAGCCACAGCCCCTGTCCGCCCGACTCCCGGCCCTCGGGGCTGCCGGCATGGCCGTCGGGGGGCCGGGGCAGGGTCCAGCAGGCCGGCTGTTGCTGGCATGGTCCATCTGTAACCCGCTCCCACACGCGCTCCCTCCTCCAAGCCCAGACTGGGCCAGATCCCGAGCCCCTCAGGGCCGACCAGCGCCATCCCGCCGCTCCCCACGGCCGTCATCTTTCTCCTCTAAGTGAGAAGCTTCGCGCTGCCCGCCGACTGCATGGACAGCTGGCCATCCACAGGGCACTCAGGGGTGCCGCCCGCTTGCTCTCTGGAGCCCGGGCCCCAAGCCTGCCACCCTGGCCGCCGCAGTAGGAGGCACCAGGCACGGGGCGCGCGTGGGGCAGGCACAGGGGGGTGAGGCTGCGTGGAGCCCCCGAGACCCGGGTCTGGAGAGAGCGCTCCCACAAGGGCGGTGATGGCCACACCGAATGACGCAGCCACGGCAGCAAGGGGAGCTGCCCCGCAGCCCGGAGCTGGCTCCACGGACCTCCGGCAGGCAGGGGCGGGGGGGGGGGGCGCCCCGCCAGGCCTGTGTGGTGCAGGAGGCGGGGCAGGCTCACAGCAGGGCAGGCGGCCCCACACGGACTGTCCTATCCGGGGTGTTTCATAGCCACGGCCTCCGTGGGGCAGGCACCAGGTCCAGTGTGCGGACACCAGGGTCAAGATGCACGGGCAGGTCACTGCAGCCCCAGGAATGACGGCCCGCACCCCGCCACAGCGCACACCCCACAGGCGGCCTCCCCAGGGCTGAGGTCCTGGAGGACTGACGGGAACGGGGGAGCCCACGTGCGCCTGAGCTGAGCCCAAGGCCTGCCCAGGGGGCGGGCGCCTGCCACCAGCGCATGGCCCGGTCAGCTGTGCATCCAGTCCAGCCCCAGGACAAGCGGGGCCAGGGGGCTGAGGGGCCCTGTGCAGACCAGTCCGGCAGGCACTGTCAGTGGTGGGCAGCAGGAGAGGCGGGTCCCCAAGCCCGGCCCAGGAGCCTGCCCAGGCGGGTCGGGTCGCAGCAAGGTGCGTGGTGGAGGAGAGCCGGCCCCCTGTGGCCGTCCTGGCCCAGCCCGTCGCGGGGGCGTGTCTAGTGCTGTTCTGCACGACCCAGATGTCCTCAGTGAGCGTGTGGCCGTGACGCTGCGAGAACACGCTAAAGCGGCTGCTGACCTGTAGTTATGCTGAAGAGAACCCACACCCCGCCCCGCAGAGAAAAGCCTCAGGCTGCGCAGCCGTGGCAGGAGCACGCGAGTGGGCCGGGAAGGAAGGTCGGTGCCCTGGACGCCGGCCAACACCCTGGGCCCCCACGGCCAGCCGTGTGGGTGGCTGAGCCTGGCTGCACCTCGGTTTTCCCTTCATGGGGCAATGGGCAACAATACCCCGTTCCGTGTGGCAGTTCCGAGGACCCCACGAGCTCCCATGGGAGAACCAGTGGACCGGGGTGGCCTCCGGAGCTTGACCCTCATGTGTTCGAGTCAGATCAGTGCAGCCGCCCAAGGCCAGCTCAACAGCCCCCTGCCCAGCCCCACGCGCTGTGCAGTGCCCTCCCCTCTTCACCCGACGACGGTAGGCCCCGCCCGCTTCAGCACCGTCCACGCCGGCCTGGGCGAGCACTCGGCCGCCCCCACCAGCACCTCCCCAGTGCACGCCCTGAGGCCCGGGTGGGGGATTACAACCAGCAGGAGTGTTTGCTGCCACATTCCAAGGCGGCCTCTCCCGTCACTCGGCAACCCGCACACCAGCCCTGGCTGACCAGCGCCCAGGCCTGCTGAATGCTGCCTCCTCTGAGGTCCTCGTTGGCCTCCCCACCGCGGTGGCCTGCGCTCCCTGAGGAAGACACAGCCAGGAGGCCCGTGTGTCCCTCGCTTCCTGCCCGTGTCCAGCTGGCACTGGTCCTCAGCTCCGCCAGGAGAATGCAGGGCCCTTCTCACCATCTGGGCCCTCAGCCTCCCACCACCTGGTGCTTCTCCCTTCAGCGGCACCCACACCCGCACTGGCCTAGCCCCAGCCCAGGGCCCCAGTGGGGCGACTCACAGGGGCGCATCCTCTCACCTGTGGCCTCGCCTAAGCCCAGTCAGACACAAGTCCCGATGCCCACCTGGCCCGACTCCCGGGCATCTGCCAACAGCTGTAGCTGCTTCTCTGGCACCACGCACCACCTGGACGACACCTGGGAAACCCCTGCGCGCCCCCGCAGCCATGCGCACCCACCGCCCAGCCCTCGAGCGCCTGGTCCTGGCGTCTCGCCCACTCCTCGCAGCACGGCCCCCGCGGGCCCCTGGTCTGGACACCGCCACCCGGGCCTGCCGCACTCTGGCCCCTGCGGTCGGCCGCCTATGTACAGCAGGACGCGGCCCGCTTGAAGCACAAGTCTGATGGTCCTTGGCGGTAAGTGGTCAGCAGGCCTGCGAGTGGAAGCAGAGGCCCAGGCCAGGCCAGCCGGTGCCAGCACACAGCGGGGCCTTGCGGGGGCCCCTGCGGGGGGACCCTGTTCCCGCCGCCGCCGCTGAGCGCACACAAGTGCAGGGAAGAGAGCAGCCGGGGCCCCGTGACACCGGGTGGCCACACGAGGCTGGGCCATGCTCCCACGCAGGACCTGCCTGCTCCTCACCCCGGGTGCGGCCTCCGCGCCAGCCAATGCTCTCTGGTCATCTGCCACCTCACCCGGAGCCCTCTGAGGACAGCCTGAGTGCAGCGCCCTCCCGCGGGGCGGCTCTGGTCCAGAGGAAGAGCTGTGCTTCGAGGCAGGCAGCCCTCAGCCCAGGAACCCGCCTGGACATGGCAGCAGGGCAGACACCGCCCTACCTCCCCCACGCACCCACAAAGCAGGCCCAGATACAAATCTCTTGCGTGTTAAACAAAATACGCGGCCTGCCTTCTTAAAAAGAAACGTGATCCCAAGAGGGCCTCTTCCTCACGGGAGCAGCACCGAGTGGACAGTGGAGATTCCAAGCTGACCCTCTGCGGCCAGGCTCACACCCTGCTCAGAAACTCGCTTCACACAGTCCGCACCGCGGAAGGAAACTGAGCAGCCCACAGAAAGGAGTCTGCCCCTCGCGGCCAGCAGGGGGCACGGCCGGCCCAGCCGTTGAGTTCCCCGGGATGAAAGGACACACCCGGCCCGTTGCTCCCAGGGCTCCAGAAGCTTCCTGGGCCCCGCCAGGGCAGGCAGAGGAGGCGCTGGAGCCCCCAAGAGCAGCCTCACTGCACAGCCGCCGTCCCACCCTGCATGCGCGGGGGATGCACACAGGCTCGGCCGGCAGCGCGGGCAGGGCGGGCGCCGCAGCCAAGGAGAAGCGCGGGCCGCCCTGGGGCGCTCTTGTCACAGCATCAGTCACCGTGGGCACGGGCAGCCCCTCGCATCTGTCCTCCATCGGGTCACAGGAGCCCCGGGGCAGCCCCACGACGGCCACGCAGCCTCCTCAGATGCTCCCTCCCGCACGGGCGCGGCTTCCTCAGGCCTGGGCCTCCCACGCATCCTATTTTTACCCCCAGTGTGAATGTTCCCCTCTTCTTCCCAAAACCCCACAAATCTGAGTGCCCTTGGTGAACCGCCAGCCCCACTCCCCGAGCCACAGCGTGAGACCCACTGGAGGTCTTAAAGCCCGAGGTGGGCGCTTTCTCTACCATGAAACACTAGGCTTCAGGCCACACGAGGAAGGGCACGGGTTGGTACCAGCACAATCCCGGAGGGCACAGCCCGCTCCACCTTACAGCAGCCCCCGTCAGATGACACAGGCCAGCCAAGAACACTCAGCAGACAAGCTTCTCTCTAGAGTTAAATAGGCACGAACGAGCGAGTCTCAAACACTAAACAGCTATAATTGCTTCTTGAAATTTCTGAGCCGGTCAGTTACACATTTAATTGCTCTGTGGTGAGCATCAATGAAGTGAAAATTACAACGCACTTACAAAGGCTCTCACAATAAGCTGATATGTTTCTATGGTGATGAACATTTAAACAAGATTTTGCCTGGACATCTTGACCCCTTGCAAGGTATGTAAACAGCACTTTCCAGGCTCTGTCTCCACCCATTAAGAAAGCCTGGGAAAAAATTCTACATTCACGGGACATTTAAAATAAATATCCTGCCATTGTTTCCAGCTCACAAAAAGGCCCTCTCAGTCACGCCAGATGCGGTTTGCTCAGCGGCCATCTGAGGAAGATAGATAGAAG